CATCCTGCAGCCCTGCAAGTGTTTATTCTGTGTTACTTTGTTGAGCTCCAAAATACGTCAGTGACATCGCGAGCAGATGTCGTCTTTGATCACATTTCATACAGGCCCAAAGAAAGGGCTAAGTCAGGCTATGCAGAAATCTATGGAATCAAAATGAGTTGGCTGAGTCCCTGTTCTTGGCTCAGTAGCGGCCGTGAGCACAGAAAAACCTCGTGGCAGGTGTTCCACGGATCCATTGCTTTGTAGCAAACTACCCCAAAACTTAGCGGCTGAAAACAACCCCTTAGTATATGTCACGGATTTGCGAGTCAGGAATTGGGCAGGGCTCAGCCAGGTGACCTTCTGTTCCATGTGGCATTGGCAGAGGTCCCAGATGGGCTGGTCTGGAGGGTCCAAGGCTGACACCTGGCAGGGGCGGCTAGAGGCTGGGCTCAGCTGGGACTGTGCACCAGAGAACCCATGAACTGAGAACCCAACTGAAAACAGGTGTTCAAACAAAAACTTGAACACAAATGTCCATAGCAACACCATTCACAGTAGCCACAAGGGGAAACAACCCAAATGTCAGTCAATAAATAAATGGATAAATAAAATGTGGTATATGCATACACTGGAATATTATCAAGCCATAAAAAAGAATAAAATTCTGATATACCACAACATGAACTTTGAAAACATGCTAAGTGAAAGTAGCCAGACACAAAAGGCCACATATTATGTGATTTGATTTATATGAAATATCCAGTAATTTATAAGTAAATCCATAGAGACAGAAAGCAGACTGGTGGTTGCAAGGGGAAGGGGAAATGGTGAGTGACTGCTTAATAGGCACGGGGTTTCCTTTTGGGGTGATGAAAAAGTTCTGAACCTAGACAGTAGCTATCGTTGCACAACATTATAAATGCACTAAAGGTCACAAATGGTAAATTTTATATCTATTTTACCAGAATTTTTTAAATAATAGGTTTTTTGTTGTTGATTTTAACGTCCCCCGGAATGGTCCATGCCTCTAAAAGTTTATGTCCAAGAGAGAGAGTTCCTTAGACACACTTGCTTCTCACTCTTCTATCCTAGAACACAGGAACTGGGTTTTGAGAACCAGAGTTTTAACTCATGGAGAAGATTCCTCTACCCACAGCACTCAGCTGTGGCTTATCCATCTTCCTGGTTCTCCTTCCAGGGCCTTTGTCACCTCCCTCGAGCAGGAGGCCCATAGTGCCTGGGCGTTAAGCACATAGTTATAGGCCAAGTGTGAACCAGCCCCACCACGCAGGATATGCAACCTCAGGCACGCCGTTGGGCCTCTGTTAGTGGAGTTGATGGTGGTCCCCACCTTGCAGGTCCTTGGGAAGGAGAGGAGCTTAGAGACGGCATAGCAGAGCATTCAGTAGATAGTGACAATGATGGCTATGATTTCTACTCTGAAAGGGACGCTGGTATGAGGAAGCCAGAATCTCCCTGTTGGTCCAGGTTCGCACGCTCGCAGTCAACTCTCGCGGTCTGTTTTCTCTGCAGGAGTTCATTCGCCTGGGAAGCCTCAGCAAGCTCTCCGGGAAGGGGCTCCAACAGCGCATGTTTTTCCTGGTAAGTGGTGAGAGCTGTCTGTCTTCGCTGTGATCTGTGATCCGTAGGTCACAGGGCCGGGCCTCAGCCGCCCGGGGTGGGGGCACCTGGAAGGCAGAAGCAGCAGCCAAAAGCTGCTCAGACTGGATTTGTTGAGATCAACGAATTGTCGTGCAAGATTCTGAAAACATACCTTCCACACTTGTTGATTTCAAACGGAGCCCCTTCGTCTCAGCCGCACTTGTCCTTGCTCCTCTAGTTCAACGACGTCTTGCTGTACACGAGCAGGGGGCTGACGGCCTCGAATCAGTTTAAAGTCCACGGGCAGCTCCCGCTCTACGGCATGACCGTGAGTATGCGCTGTGGGTGCGAGATCGGGGCCTTTCCCTCTGGGCTGCCTGCAGGTTGCAGGCCAGGCAAAAGGGAGCAAGAGCCAGTGACAGTGACATGAGGAAGGAAAAGGAGGGACTTGACAAGGGAGTGAGAGCATCACAGGTGCCATGGGAAACCTGGGCCTTGTTAGGTGTCCCCTAGAGGGAGGGGAGATGCACGGGTGTGTTCCTTCTAGAGTCCAGCAAGGAGGCAAGCTGACAGGCCGCATGTGTGAATCTGCCTCTCCCTGCTCTGAGCCCGGCCTCAGGGCCCTGAAAGACAGTCCCCACCATCCACGTGGAGTTATGGAGCCCACTGCTAGACAGGGAGCCACTGTCCTTCCCCGGAGATGTGCCAGTGGCCAGGGCTCCATATTCTAATAACCATTGGGTGGCAGATGCAAACAGGGTGCCAGTCTGCACAGGATTATTTCCCTGGCTTATACCCACACTCTGCTCAGTGGTTGCATAGAAGGAAGTTTGTGGGCTTTGCCAAAAAAATTCAACATGTTTTGACCTTCCTTCTGCCTTTCCAAATTGTGATTTTTTCTGATTTGGACCCCTTGTCCCTCTGCAGTGGTTCCTGGTTCCTCTGAGCCCTGCTGAGTGTCCCCACCTTCTCTCCAGCATTGGCCTGTAGCCAGTTTAGTGAATGTTTGAAAACGCATCGAGGGTCTCCCTCCCTTTTTTGCAATAATGTCATGAACACTTGTCTCGCAGATAGAGGAAAGTGAAGACGAGTGGGGCGTGCCCCACTGCCTCACCCTCCGGGGCCAGCGGCAGTCCATCATCGTGGCCGCCAGGTAACTGGGGAAACTGACCCCGCAGCTCTTTACCCTTTTATCTGCTGTGGCTTGAAAACCTGACCTCCACCTCTTCTTCAGCTCCCGGTCCGAGATGGAAAAGTGGATCGAGGACATACAAATGGCCATTGATTTGGCAGAGAAAAGCACTGGCCCCACACCCGAGTTCCTCGCCAGCAGCCCCCCTGACAACAGTAAGTGTGGAGAGGAGCGCTTTCCTGGTGCAGGCCAGGCCATTGCCTTGAGGAGTTAGCGTGGAGGGGAAGGCCAGCTCTGGCTTACAGAGGGAGTGCATCCTGTTGTAACTAAAATCACCTTCCTGGTGAGCCTCATGTCCGTGGTCCACATTTGTGTTTAAAGCTCAAAATCAAGCAGCCTCCTTTTTGTAAAAGTATAACCCTTCAAACAGTCTGAGGGAGCAGGGAAGTCACCTTTCCTGTGCCAGCATTGCCCCTTGTCATACAGAATGTCAGCGTCTAGGGAGAGAACACAAGGCCATCCAGGGGCCCGGGCCCAGGTGTGTTAGGGGCTCCCTGGCAGAGAGGCTGGCAGGACGCCCCCAGATGTGGAGCCCTGACAAGCAGAGGGGCTGCTGGGAAGCCCCCTGGCATGGGACCCTGATAGGCAGAGGGTGGCTAGTCTGTGCACGGGTTCCCCAAGGCCAGACTGCTGTGAGTCCCCCCTACCTTCCAGTCCCATTCAGCAGCTGGGACGGGTCGGGAAAGGGGCCCTTTTCCCGGCGAGCAAGGGTCAGAAGCACTGCCTTTTGCGCATCCTGCAGAGTCGCCCGATGAGGCCGCGGTGGCCGACCAGGAGTCGGAGGACGACCTCAGCGCCTCGCGCACCTCGCTGGAGCGCCAGGCCCCGCACCGCGGCAACACCATGGTGCACGTGTGCTGGCACCGCAACACCAGCGTCTCCATGGTGGACTTCAGCGTGGCCGTGGAGGTACGGCCGCCAGCCCAGGGGGCGGGCGTGGGGGGCATGGGCCACCCTTGTCCTTCTGAGCATGCGCGCCCAGCCTCGCAGGCATTGACCTTCTCCCACGAAAGCGAGCGCGTGTCTTGGCCTCGTTCGGCCCCACTGCCGCCTGTACAGTGCTCATTTTCCTTTGTTCTCCCGGCCATCTGCGCCGTTGTTCTTCCTCTCGTCGAGTCAACCGGAGGGCAGAGGCTGATCCTGCATTTAGCCCTGTGACCGGAGACGCATGCAGAGAGCCCGGTGCGGGCGGACGGGCGGCTCGAGGCGCGGGGTCGCCACATCCTGGAGCAGCTCCCTGCAATCGGGTGGGACGAGGCAGGAGGGTCGGAAAGCTGGTGTCAGGCGGTCAGGTAGAGGTCACGGACGAAGCCGCAGGACACGGCCCCTCCGGGCAAGCTCTGGGTGTCGTCCCTGAGAGTTGGCTTGGTGATGGGCTCTCCCCAGATTGCAACCGCGAATCTTCCAGAACTCTCTAAACCCCATTCCCTAAGCATCCTCCAGTCCAGTTCCCTAATCCATTCCCTTTCAGAAAATGGCAAGCCCAGAAAGCCGGAAGACCGCCGAGTTCTCTTCATATCCCATGGGCAGCAGAAGCTGACCTGATGGTTAGGAGGCTCTCTTGTTTTGTGTGAATGTGCCTGTTTCACTACAGAATCGTGTTGTGTTTGATTCTGGGCTTCTGCCCAGACCCCATGGCTGGGGTGCCATATAGTAGAGGCCCTGGGTTATCTAAAACCTGAAAAGTTCTGAATTCCTAAACATGCCTGGCCCAAAAAATGTCACACGAGAGACTGTGAGCCCAGAACAATGGTTTGTTTGCCTTTTTCCCCAGCAGTGATGGCGATATGCCACATTTCCTGATGGATGGCCCACTGCGACTCTCCGAGGTGGTTCTCTGAAGGTGACCTTCAGTTCTATGGAACTGCTTGTATTGAGTTTCTTTGCTACAGATAGTGTTCTAAACCCTGTGCCTGCTCCTAAAAACACCCTCAAGGGGAGGCGTCCTGGGCCCAGGCCCTGGGTGTGGGGCTCTGCCACGTGGAGGTCCCCCAGCTGTGCCTGGCCTTCCTTCCTTCCCTCTCCTCTGTGCCCCACAGGGATGGCCTTTCTCCTCCTTATGGTACTAAGCATTCCGCCCTCCTTCACACTTCCACCGGCTCTGTCTGCAAAGCTTGCCAGCCGGAGACTTCTTCCAGGGGACTGAGAATCTTTCCAGCATGGAGGGAGCAGGGAAGAACCAGTGACGGTCTGGTGGGAAAACATCCCCAATCAGATCTGTGTGTCCAGTATAGTCCAGTGAAGCCGGTGGAGGTGCAATGCTGTGGGAGAGAAATCATCTGCCTCCCTTTATACAGACCTGCATGATATGTAGTTAAGACTGTCAAGGCGTGGGAATGGGGTAGGCTTGAAACTTCATTTTTAACCCTGGAGGCACGTAGGTGTTCAAGAATGCAGCAAACGCACCTAAGTCAGGTCCTGGGCGGCCCAGAGACACTTCCTCAGGCCCAGCTCTTTTGGGGTGACAGGGCTGCACAGCTGCCGTCCTTTGCGTGGTCAGTGAGTGTGCAGAGGCGGGTCAGCACACTGGCTCACAGGCCACAATCTGCACACCCACCTGAGTGTGTCCAGCCCGTGAACTAAGAAGGGGTTTCACATTTTTGAATGGTTACTAGAAATATCTTTGATTTTGCCTCTTGTCCCGAAAAGCCTAAAATATTTACTCTGTGGTCCTTTGAGGAAAAGTTTGCCGAGAACTGTAGAGCGTGAAGGCAGCCCCTGGCGGGGTGGCTACAGGGCGGCAATACTGCAGGCTCAGGACTCGTGGGACTGGCTTGTCTGTCACTCTGCAAACATCCCTCCCTTGCCAGACCGCCTCTTCCCAAGGCGCATGGCTTCAGTCTGGTGTCTGTGGTGGGCTCCCCCCACTGCGAGTCACATGTCCCCTGACTGGCAGATGAGCCCCATTCTCCCAGGGCCTCAAGTTCCACTGTGTGGCGGAGGGGAGGGGAGCAGCCCCTTTCCTCCTGATGTGTCCCCACCGTCCTACGCACCAGCCTCTCTCTCTTCCAATTCTGACTCCTACAGGACTCATGCAGGTAGAAACAAGTACCGGGGATGTTTGGGGACAGCGTGAAGACGAGCCGGCCTCAACAGAAAGTTTGTCTGCAAGCCAGTGGGCACGGGGGCTTCATGTTAGACAGCGGGGTCTGATGGTGGGATGGCCAGTGTGAAGCCTCGCCTGTGGGCAGTAGGGCCAGTGAAGGGTTCTGAGGTGAAATGATCAAAGTCGTCTTTTAAGAGGTGTGATCTGGGAGAAGGGTGGGCGTTGTTCAGCAGTCTGACCCCAGGTGAGGACCACGAAGTTGGAAGGATCCGCAGTGAGAGGGAGAATCAGGGGTGGGGACTGTTTGTTCCCTGTGGCGGCTGTAACACATTATCACAAACTGGTAAAACAATGGAAATTTATCCTCCCACAGTGCTGGGGGTTGTCCAAGATCAAGGTGTTGGCAGGGTTGGCTCCTTCTGGAGGCCCTGAGGGAGGATGTGTTCCAGGCCTCTCTCCTGGCTTCTGGTGGTTGCCAGCAATCCTCTGTGTTCCTCGGCTTGTAGAGGCATCACTCCAGTTTCTGCCTCTGTCTCACTTGGCGGTCTCCCTGTGTGTCTCTCTTAAAATGTCCTTTTCTTACAAGGACATCAGTCATTGTATAACTTCCTCTTAACTTGATTACATCTGCAAAGACCCTATTTCCAAACAAGGTCACCTTCACAGGTACTGGGGCTTTGGACTTGAACATATCTTTTTCGGGGACACAACTCAGTCCACAGCGGGGACTGAGCCGTTTGGGAGCTGGGAGGAGCCAAGAGGCTTTCCTTTGGTTGGGGAGTCGGGGAGAGGAGGCTGCTGTGAAAGGCAGCGAGGAAATGGGTCATCGGCTGGTTCCGGGTCAAGGATGTTGATCTCTCCCATAAAGTCAGCAGATGAAGACTGGGCCAGGTTGGAGATAGCCTAAGGGTCATTCACATAGACAAAAGGGTTCAGGCTCTTGAGAGCAGAGTTTAGGGGCTGTCAGAAGGAGACTGATGTGTATCAGAGTGAAGCCAAGGGGAGTGAGAATTTTGGTGGGGTTGGCAACTTGGGAGGCTGCTAGGACAGTGGGAGCAAAGAAAGACCAGTGGATACAGTTGTTAAGAAGCATCTAGTCTACTAGGATGGCAAGGCCAGAAGGATGTATTCAGAGAGTTTATACCCTGGCAAGTTCCAGAAAGGATTTAGGGTGGCTGGCAAAGGTTAGATTCTCCTGAATGTGCCTTGGGAGAAATACTGGCCTAGAATCTGGTCGATCAATAAAGTGCATACACCACACTGGGACTGGCTCTTGTTCCCAAGTTAATTGCATCTAAGAGAAAGCTCTTGTGGACTGTCTGAAGGGATTTATTTGATTCAGTATAAAAACACAAAGTACAGTCACACACCGAGTAACAATGTTTCTGTCAATGACTGACCACATGTACGACGATGGTCCCATGAGATTAGTACCACACAGCCTAGGTGTATAGTAGGCTATACCACCTAGGTTTGTGTAAGTACACTCTATGATGTTTGAACAATGATGAAATCACCTAACGTCGCATTTCTCAAAATGTATCCCGTCGTTAAGTCACGCGTGACTGTGTAAGGAGAGGAAGATGTGCTCCTCTCCTCACCTCCACAGTGGGACTGCCGTGTAATCATGTGGGATTTGCAAAAGCATCAAATCCCAGAGTCTGTCTGCCACCATCACCTGCTTAGAACTCAGATACCCCATTTTCTTGTGCCTTTCTGCCAGTGGGTGAGTGGCAGGCAGACGGGGTGATAGATGGTTGCATCTGGGTGAGGGGATGGGACATTTGGCCTGGGATGCCCCCTCCCACTCCGTCTGCAGTGTCCCTCTCAGTTCAGCTAAGCCCCAGTCCACAGGGACGGGCTCTGTCTCCTTCCTGCGATCTCTCAGCTTAACTCACTGTTCCTTTCTGTCTCCCCATCAGAGCATGAACAACTCAAGGGCAGAGACATTTAAACTCTTTTCATCTCAGCTCCTAGCATAGGGGCCTTACATGGGTACTTAAAAATGCTTATTGGATTAAGTACAAAAGTACCGAAGGGATAGAATGAAGCAGACTCAGATATATTTTTTATATATTTTTTTTATTGTGGTAAATTTGCCCATTTAACCATTTTTAAGTGAACAATTCAGTGGCAGTAATTCCATTCACGAGGTTGTGCGACCATCACCACCATCCATTTCCGTCTTCTTTGAGTCTTCCTGGTAATGGGCTGCCCGCTTGTCAGGGATGTGAGTGGGCCTTCTCAGAGTCCTCTGAGCGGTGACACTGAGGGGCTTCAGAGAGTCAGTGAGGACGTGCATCCTCCGCTCTCAGCGTCCCATCATGGCTGTCCGGGAGTTGACGGTAACGCTCCACGCCAGCAGCTCCTGCAGGCCTCGGGAGACCACAGGACACCCTAGGATGCCTGTTTCTACCAGTGTTTACGCTTCGTCTAGCTCCTGGGGAGAGGTCACTTGGGTGCCTGGCGGAGGACAGGGCCCAAAAGCACTCTGCAGCAATCCAGCCTTCCAGCCCAGGCCAGGGCCACTAGATGGCAGTCAGGAGCTGCTGGCGCGGGGCTCACGATGGCTTACTCTCGAGGGGTGTCCTTCCCTACAGCTTCTCTAACAAAGCACCACCAACTGGGCAGCTTAAACAAGTGTGTCTCACTATTCTGGAGGTCAGAAATCCAGAAATCAAAGTGTCAAGAGGTCCGAGCTCCCTTGGAAACCTGTGCGGGGGGGTATCCTTCCCTGCCTCTTCCAGCTTCTGTGGTCCGCTGGCCATCCTTGGTGTTCTTTCGCTTGTAGCTATGTCACCCGAGTCTGCCTCCATCTTCGCAAGGCACTCTTCCCTGTGCCTGTCTCTGTGTCTCTCCTCTAAGGACATCAGTCCTAGTGGATTAAGGGCCCACCTTACTCTAGTATTATCTCCTCTTAACTAATTATACCTAGGATGACCCTATTTCCAAATAAGGTCACATTTGGAGGTTCTGGGGCTTAGGTCTTCAGTGTATCTTTTGGGGGGACATAATTCAACCATTAACAGGTAACAAGAAGAATTAATCAATCAGGCTCATACCATCCACCTCCTGGGGGGTCTCTCCACCTATCAGAGAGAAATGCCATTTTCTTTTTCTTTCCTTTTTTGTTTTTTGTGAGGAAGATCAGCCCTGAGCTAACATCCATGCTGATCTTCCTCCTTTTTGCTGAGGAAGACCGGCTCTGAGCTAACATCTATTGCCAATCCTCCTCCTTCCCCGCCCCCCCGCAAAGCCCCAGTAGATAGTCGTATGTCACAGCTGCACATCCTTCTAGTTGCTGTATGTGGGACGCGACCTCGGCATGGCCGGAGAAGCAGTGCATCGGTGCGCACCCGGGATCCGAACCCGGGCCGCCAGCAGCGGAGCGCGCGCACTCAACTGCTAAGCCACGGGGCCGGCCCCGAAACACTATTTTCTTAAGTCAGTCGCAGGAAGCCTGTTCTCTGAACCAAAGCCCCTGCCTGTGAGCCCTGTGTAGGCAGGGCCCGTCCAGTACCCACACCGAGAGTCCCACTAGACTGTGAAGACCAAGTTCTCCTTTCCACTGGACCAGCCTGCACCCCGCTGGTGGAGGCACCCCCATTGGTGCTCCTTACAGGCCTACTTATCTTTCAGAATCAGTTGTCTGGGAATCTGCTGAGGAAATTCAAAAACAGCAACGGGTGGCAGAAGCTGTGGGTGGTGTTCACGAACTTCTGCCTGTTCTTCTACAAGTCACACCAGGTAAGTGCTTCGCACAGGGCAAGTGGCCCTGTGGCCTTTGGGATAAGGCACTAAGTGTGCCTGCCCCGGGGAGGGGAGAATCTTAGAGACCCCTCCACAACACCCTCCCTTCTTGGGGGGCAGCCTTCCTCTGGAAGATGAAGAGCTTTGCCATCAAGTAGCCCGGCCAGGGATGGAGAGAAGGCAAGTGTTGGAGGGAGTCCCACCACAGGCCTGCCCGGGAAGGGCATGTCCATCAGAGACCCTCAACTCTGAGGGCAGGTTGACATCCATCTGCTGACATATCCAGCCCTGAAAAGGGCCATTTGTCTGCTGGTTGGACAAGGAGGGAGATGACTGAATTTATGGCTCATGTCCTGGCCAGGATGCACTAGCTGGACCACAGCACATCAGCCAAGACCAGCTTGCCCAGAGTTGCTGTGGGGCGAGAGGCTGCAGCCACCTCTCCCAAACCGCCTTCTGTTGACCTTTTCCAGGACAATCACCCCCTGGCCAGCCTGCCTCTGCTTGGCTATTCACTCACCATTCCCTCGGAGTCTGAGGACGTCCACAAAGACTACGTGTTCAAGCTGCATTTCAAGTCCCACGTGTACTATTTCAGGGCCGAAAGCGAATACACATTTGAAAGGTAATGTTCCCCTCTGCACAGGGCACCTGCAGAAAACGGACTCTCCTCTCCCGAACAACAGGATTTCTCCGGAGCCAGTGAGGGCACAGGGCACTCCTGGCAGCAGCTACTTGCTGCCCATGCTGGGCCTGGGTATTTACACCCTTCCAGAATGTGCTTGTCGTTCTAACCCCGCCAGTTGCTTAGAATGAAAGTGTGTCATGAGATCCAGGGTCCCTCTGCGGCAAGTCCACTTCTGTCCTCATAGAAGCAAGTGGAACCACAATTTCCCCGGGGAATAGCATCAGTCCTTAACCTGTACCATGTCAGTTAATGCCACACACTTGGCACTTTTCCATCTCTAACGTGTTTCTGTCTCTAGCTTCAGTAGCTGTTTAGTCCTAATACTTCTGATTGGGCTATGGCCAAAAGGCTGTTTCAGGTCAAAAGACCACACGAGGAATGAAAAAAATCCTAATATTTCTTCAAGTTACCTTATTAGTAAGCCTGCCTACATGGTAGAATGAGACCCAGGGGCAGTAGTCTTCATTTAGCCAAGAAATAAAGTAAAATGGAAAGAGCCAGGCTATCACATTTGACCAGTGGCTTCAGTCTGTTCCTGAAATTTCAAGTACAAATTCTGGGCCTCTGGGAACTGCATCCGCAGCAGGCGACGAAAGCAGTTGTCACTGCTGAACCACCTTGGGGGGGATCCTCAGGCCACAGACCAGACAGGGCAGTAGTTGCCACCCCCATTTAGGGAGAAACCGTTTGATAGGACAGTAACTTATTCCCTCACTACCCAATGACACTCAACCACAGGAGTTTCTAGTTGATGGGCCAGTTATGATCTGTGCACAAGCCCTAGTAAAGTTAGTTCAGGGGAAAGAGCACAGTGGTTCAAAACTAGGGTTGAAAGCCTCCCATACTATCATCCCTAAACAGCAGTCCCTGAACTACATTGCTGGGAAAATGAGCGCAGGGAATAGCAATTCTCAAGTCTGATCCCGAACTGGAACCCTTAGATTGAGGGACTGAGCATGGGAGCTGGATTAATCCAAGTTGGGATCTTGTTACTGTTGTGGCAAGGATAGTTTAGCCTTGAGTGGTAAGATCCTAAAAAGACGTGTGATCAGGGGCTTTCTAAAGCCACGCTATAAGCGCCATGAAGGCAGGAAGCTTGGCACACTCCAGGCTTTCTCACCCTCGGCACTACTGACATCTTAGACCAGATAACTTTTGGGGGGCAGGGGAGACGGTCTGTGGATTGTAGGATGTCCAGCAGCATCCGTGACCTCCATCCACTAGATGCCAAATGTCCCTATGTATCTGAAAACCACCAGCATACCACGAATACTCAAATGCATAAAATGAACTCCCACTAAGCAGGATGGGCTGCACAGCATTTTCTATGAGAAAGATCAGGAGGTCGAGTTCTCCTAAACAACCAGAGGCCACCTTACCTCTAACCGCTCTAAATGGGATGTGCTGCCATGTCACGTGAGCAAGGCACGTCCATCTCGGGCACTCTGGGTTCTCTACAAAATGAGCAGGTCCAAGTCAATGGTTCTCAAACTGTGCTCCCCAGGAACACCCAGAGGAACCCTTAACCCTGCTTTCATTTACTTGGGTGCTACCCGTTCATTTAAGAACTCTTCTTCTGCTAAAACAGCAGATTACACACCGGGCAGTATTACCTCAGGCTGTGGTTTTGTGAGCAATGACAGCCAAGGGTCACGAGGCTGTTACAAGCAAGAGAAAAAAATCAGACAGGAGTTAATAAAAAGTGGCCCTTGACAGTTCTTAACTTTCTTGTCTTAGGTGGATGGAAGTGATCCGAAGTGCCACCAGCTCGGCCTCCCGTGCCCACATTCTGAGTCACAAAGAATCTCACGTGTATTGATGGCAGGACAAGTTACTGATTGTTCCAGCAGTGGCTGCTTTCCTGGAAGACATTTGCTTTCTTCTGTACTAATGAAGCCTGGTAAAATTGATACCTGTCTGGAAAACAAAACCATGGTTTTACAGCAACTCTCATCTGTCTCCGCAGAATCGTTTTAACCTTGTCTTTTCAGCTGTTAATTTCTCGTCTGAATGGAAGTGCTCCCACCTCCAACGCTGGTGGCGTCTTGTCTGTCATTCTCTTGGTGGGCTGTTTTTAGCTTGTGCCAGTATTAAAACATTGTCACTAATATAGTGCCAAATGACATTTTTTTCCTCTACAACTGCACCTTAAAAGCAGTACAAACACATCCGTTCAACCAAAAGACAGGGCAAGTGCTCTTCTTTTTTTTAAAGAAACTTTTATTATTTTGATTTCTAGGCTGCTGCATTTTAAAAAATGGATTTTCCAGTGTTTGCGATACACATGGCACAATCTTAAGCAAATGAGATCATTTTCAGATTTCGTTTTTTTCAATCTTTCTACTTTTATAACAATAGGAAGTTAGTAGGATTTACTTCTTTGATTAATAAGCAATTTGCAGCACACTACGTTCCATTTTGGGGTTTCGTGCTCCCATGAAACGCTGGTTACCAGACCTACTTCTTGGCGCAAGTTGACCAAATTGTTTAAGTGATTACTGTTTTCAAACTGTAGCGGGTTCTTTTCTGTTAAGAGAAGCAGAAATCCAGTGCGATGTCTGGACTATCACTGTACTGTGAGTGGTGTATACAATGGGAAGATATTAAGCTGTGGTGTTTTGCTGTCTGTTTCACAAGCATGAAAACCTGTATGTCAGAAATCAGGGCCATTTGTGGTATGTTATGGAGAGTTTTTGTGAGCTTCCGGTGGATGCAGAAGCACTGCAATAATAGTGCGTAGTCCCTGGCCCCCGTTATCATACCTATATCCTCCTGCAGCTGTGGTTCGGAACTGCACATTCAGTAGTAGTATATATCGTGCCTGTCTTCAAATAACAACATTCTTTTCTCCTTTTTATACTCATTTGCCCCAGGCATGGGGTACCGACAGTATGACATTGCATATCCTCGATAGTCGGACTACACAAGGAACATGGTTTCCAGTAACTGCTGGGCCCACTAGTCAGAATCTGTTTGCCTATTCTCTCTGGGGATCAGGTGGCTGCTATTCCCCTTGTATTGTTAAGCCCTATCCGATGCAGCCCCCAGAGGGGGCGACCAACACAACACAGTTCTCTTCCAGTGCCCTGCACCACAGCTGGGAAAGCCCCTCACTAAGAAAAACAGGTCTGCCCCGACCCCGTGGAGCTGTGACTGGTGGACGTGGAGATGGCAATGTACAAATGGACGAGTAGCTTGAGTTGTGTTAATCATTTGCCTTACAATATGTACCAGACGGTTTTAAGTACTAACAAAAGGGAATAAAAATACCTCACGCCACAATCCAGCATATTGAAGTTTTAAGGCAAAACCACCAATCTAGTCTGTCTTTATTTTCATCTGATGCGGGTGGGTTGGGGGGCAGAGCTCGATGGTCACTGCAGGGTGGGTGGGAAAGAGAAAAAGAACAGAGACTCCACTGCTCATTAAGACAGACAACATGTTTTGGAAAACTTGTTTTGATATTTTAGTCTAGCTGTTCCTTCCAACTGGGTACTGGGGTAACAGAACATTTCTAGGAGACTGCTTGTCAGTGACTATAAAAGACAAGGACTAAAACCCAAGGGATGAGAGCAAAGCAGGGAGGGGCTGAATTCCTTTGTGAAAGGGGCCCCAGAGACAAGCCAGTTCCCTGAGGCTGCCCCCACCCCGAGAAGGTGAAGCTTGAGTACATTTGACCCCAGTCGCCAAGCAGCCAAGACAGCAGAGGCAGTCAGGAAAATTCTCCCTCCAGTAGTTCACTGTCACTAAATTCTACAAGGCTTGGGGATGAGGTGGTCTCCTACTTCAGTATCTGTGAATGATTTCAAACCATTTGCGGGACACTTCGGGTTCCAAGCTAGCACCTCTGTGCCCCCCTGTGACTTCAAAGAAAACTTAAGTCCAAATCATGTGGGCAGCTGAGACCACTCCCAAGCTGCCAGGAACAGACAGAGGTGCAGAGATTCCCCCTTAGTTCACTGGCGCTGCTGTAACAAAAATGCCACAGACTAGGTGGCTTTTCAACAACAGAAATTTATCTCCCAGTTCGGGAGGCTAGGACGTCCAAGATAAGACGCCGGGTCGGCTGAGATCCTTCCTCTTGGTCCATGGACAGCAGTTTCGCTGCATCCTCACGTGGCAGAAGGGGCCAGGGAGCTCTGTGGAGTCTCTTTCATAAGGGCACTAATCTCCACTGATGAGGCTCCACCCTCATGACCTAGGCCTCCCAAAGGCCCCAGTTCCCAATACCAGCACACCGGGGGTTAGGATTACAACATACAAATTTTGGGGGGAGGGGGGACACAAACATTCAGTCTATTCCCTCTACATACAAGACAAAATCACACAAATTGTTTTCTGTGAACTTTATTGACTCTTGCATGAGACAGTAACTGTGCTTAAAAACACACCTTGAGCACTCCCATTTATTGCCATATTTTATAGCAGAAATACAGAAGCTGTTTTTTTAGGGAAGGAAATATAAAAATGCTTATAAACAGACCATATGTTTTGCCAAAAGAAAGGTACAAAATGCTACATGAAGAACTGAACTAGACACTTCACAGGACCAACTTGAGAAGAACCCTGTGGGATTCAGAAGGGGTGTGGCACTTGTTACATCAAGACAATCATGAGACCAGCTCTGTGAGGGTGCCCAGGTACCCCAAACCACACTGGTGGCCACCTCGCTCAGTGCAGACAGCTGGGACACAGAAAAGAAGACTTCAGCAAGGCATAAACACCCAGCCAGCCAGCCTACTGCCTCAGTTTCCAAAAGGCGGCAGCTTGCTTCTGTGTGAAACCACCCCCCACACGAGGTGCCTGCAGTCTCGAAGTGGACAAGCTGTTAACTGCTGGGTTTGGCATCCATAATCTTCCTAGTGTTAGTAAATCCATCTCAAACGCTGAGCTCACGGGTCTGGTGAAACACCAGCAGCAGTTTAGATTGTCTGAGGCCAGTTCCACTGTAGTTCTGGTACCTTGGTCTGTCTTTTAATGAAGATTTGAAGTGCATACACAAAATGCTAGCCTCCTTGGCTAAATAAGATGCCCTTAAAAACATCAGCTGAGTTTTTCTGTCTACAGAAAGTAACAAACCAGGAGAGACTGTATGGGAGAGGTAATCCACTTTTAAAATCCAGTCAAACCACATCTTCCCCAAGAAGCTTAATCGACAGAAGATGCTTCCAATAAACTCTAAAAGAATAATTTGTTGCTTTATCCTGGAGACGGCGCTGTGTATGATAGTCTAGTGATGGCAGAGTATCTACTAACCATTCACACCAGCATGCTTAACTGGAGTCCAGTCCCCCTATCAGCATAACCACCACTCCTGAGATTGGCTTCAGCATCCAGTCTTGATGTCATTGTCAATTTGCAAATGTGAAACTCTACATCAGAAAGCTGCTGTCTACGTTGGCGCTCTTAAAACCAGACAAGCAGCGCATTTGGGGGAACACTGCTTCATTTCTTTGAGTGATTCTTCTCCTACAATGGACAAACTGATCTTTGGCTTATGCCTCACAGAGGGAAATAAACAGTTCCCTCATATGACTGAATAGTCTAGAAACACAAAATGAAATATTCTTAAGTTTTACTGTTCAAGTTAACATTCTTGCTGCAGAATGACATGCACAATGAGAATTAGCAATTCAGTTCTATTTCCCCTAACCAAAACATAGCCCTTACAGAAATTAATATCCAACCCAAATCTACTTCTAATAAAAAAATCATGATTTAATTTTAGTATTTAAAAACTAGACTCCATTAACAAATCTAAACAATACTCACCCACTCAAACATCTCTGGCTCAGGCCTCTGTCCTCTCCCTGTAACTTCCAGGCCGTGGGCCCAGATATCTGACCTTTCATCTTGAAGTTTGCCCTGTAACTTCCTTGCTTCCAAAAATCCTTTGTCTTCCCTCTCAAGAACTGCTACTCCAACAAGAGATGACAACTGATGATTCTTATCAACAAACATAAAAGAACAACACGTGTACCTAGACAGTCAAAAATTGCTGCAGGATCTCTATTTCCCATCCCAGAGACCCAGAGATGATTTCCCCCCTTGGCACGTGAGGCCCTGCCACAAGCTAAGAAAAATACAGACACCTGGCTGACTAACCAGCAGACACAGGCTCCTTTAAGAAACAAAGCAATCCTTAATCGAGGTCTCTGGGAAGAGAGAGCAATTTTACAAATCGGCAATATTCACTGTATCTTCTCAGTGACCGATTTTTTAGAAGTTGCATAGCGAACTGACCTGGACATTCAGCGTTTTGAATGTGGGCACTTCTTCCTGGAGCCTGCTGAAATGTCTCATCATCTCATCCACACACACACACACACTCCCCTGTCAAGAGTCATATTTCAAGGAGAGTATGCAAAATAAGTGTGTTATAAAATTTATTTGTGTAAGCATTCAGACATTTTTAGGTGGGAAAGATGATATGCAGATTTCACTACAAGGTGCAACAGAAAAATCATACTGGAAAGGACGGTATAGCCGGCGAGGGTTGGCAGTGGCACAATTCCAAACAAATGGCAGACGAGAGCACTTCATTGGGGAGAAACTTAAAATAATAATTTAAAGCTTCATGAGGCAAGATATGTTCCAATTTAAAACACTAAGAAATAGTACCATCAATGAAAAAGGAAATCAACTTCTAAGTGTACCAAAAGGGCTGCTGGGCAGACAAGAGGAAAATTTGCATTTGTTGAGGTACAAATAGGAGCATTCCATAAGAGGGGCATTAATTATTATTAATGGCAAACCCTGAAAATACAAAATAAAACCCAAATCACTGGTCACATAATTCAAAATTTACATGTAATAAAGGCAAGGCAATAGACTCAAGTTATGGCCTGTCGAATATTTACTCCACTGACATTATCTACAGAAGCACTTGGCCAATTTGTACACAGTGATTCCTTATGCACGCCAAAAAGGTTTCCGTAAAAATGACACTATATACACATCTGTACACTGATCCACCAGAGTGAGTCTCCAGCTCCTGGGGAGGGGGAATCATCAACTTAAAGCAGGATACCTGAGGTTTCATTTCTTCAGTTGCCTTATCGTAATCCCAAATATACATTTCAGGGTTTGTTTTTGTTTTGAAAGACACTTTCCTTGATATGTGCATTATGGTTAAAATTAAAAACAAGAATAATAATAAAATAAAATGATCGCTTGAAGGAGCTGACCCTCCCCACCCCATCTGGAGACATCACGTGGCCAAGGCCCGCAAGGAAGGACTGTGTAGCCTGGACAGGCACCCGTGGCGGGGAGGACAGCCCCTTGATGGCGCACCTCTTCAGCGGAGTCAGCAAAGGCTCTCGTTGACTTTTAAGAAAGAGGAGGATGAAGAAGAAAAAAGGAAAAACAAAACCCCAAATGACAAAGGAATTTCAGTGGGATAAAGTTCCTCCACCACTTAGAGAGTATCTAGGAAAAAACAAAAAGAGAAATAGAAGTAAATAAATGTCACTTCTCTAAATTAAATTAATTGGCAAAAATTCAAATAACCAAAATCCTAGTTTTTATGGATAATCTCAAGTCACAAAAAAATTAAGTGGAACAAGTATCAATGGGCTAACGATTATATAAATAATTCATAGAAATTAAGAAAATCATGGTTCCAACACAAAAACTTCTCACAGGTAGGTTCAATTCACTCATAAAGAACTAAAAGTATATGACAAAAAGAATGTGTTCAGCCTCCCAGGAGAAAAAAAGATGTGAATAAAACAGTAAATGATACATATTTACTTATAATCAACTTCTAAAAATTGAAAATTCAGTAATACCCAGTGACACAGTAAGATTCCAGGGATGCATGTATATGGCCGATTTGAGCAGCAGTTCAAGAAACCCTTTTTGGCCACAAAAATATTGATGCTTGTTCAAGTAACCCACTTCCTAGAATCATCTCTTAGGTTTTTTGTAATTATGATAATTAGAAAACAACTCTGATGTCCAACAATAGCGAAATGGTTAAGTAAATTAAGCAAGCTGAATAAAATAGAGATTAAAAATTATAATTACATTTAAGCAATATGAAAAATATATACAAGTTAATAAGTGTACACAAAATTATGCATGTATAGTAGTTTTACATGCACAATTTCTTTATCCCAAATAAATACGAAAGAATGTCCAAAAAATTATACCTGCACTATAATTTGCAGAAATGTAAAAAACTTGCATTAACAATGGAAGGCAATGCACCAAAGATGATGATTATGATGATGATGGGGCTAAAGTGGTGGGATCATGGGTACTGTTCAGTAATCCTACAGTATCGTCTTGCTTTGGAACACAAAAAAGGGTCAGAGTGAGGACGCCCTCACGGCCAAGATCCCCCCCAAGGCCACCTCAAAACTGACCGCCGTCACAGGAGATGGCTGAGAACGTGTTTTCCGGGACTCATCACAAACATTCCAACCTACAGCCCCTCTTTTGAGGCATTTAAAATACTCGGCACTCTCCCAGACAGCAAACGATTACATAAGATCCTCCTGAAAAGCACGCTTTACCCACAGCTCCTAAGACTTACTTTCTTTTTTTGTGTGTGTGAGGAAGATCAGCCCTGAGCTAACATCCATGCTAATCCTCCTCTTCTTGCTGAGGAAGACCAGCCCTGAGCTAACATCTATTGCCAATCTTCCTCCTTTTTTTTTTTTCCCAAAGCCCCAGTAGATAGTTGTATGTCATAGTTGCACATCCTTCTAGTTGCTGTATGTGGGATGCGGCCTGAGCATGGCCAGAAAAGTGGTGCGTTGGTGCGTGCCCGGGATCCGAACCTCGGGCCACCAGTAGTGGAGCACGCGCACTTAACCGCTAAGCCACAGGGCCGGCCCCATAAGACTCACTTTCAAGAAACATAAATGCCTCCTTCACGGGAAACATGATGCCTCCATCAACGAGGAGTTGATGCCACACAGGAGGATCCACAAGTTCATTCAAACTAACACAGAGGAAGCCTTTGAAAATGCTTTAGACAAAAGTCGGCTCTCATGTCTGCTGAGGTGATCCACTGAAGTAACGCATTTGGGAGGAAACGGGTAGCAAGCATTAGCAACGGCCACTGTTGTTTGGCAGCATCTGGGTGCGGACACACAGGAAGAGCTTGGGGAGCAGAAAGGAGCAAACAGGTGGCACCAGCCAAGGCCTGTGGGGACCAGGTAAGGACCCCAGGAGCAGGCTCATCTGATGGCCGAGGAGGAGAGAGCGTTCACACGTCACAAAGGCAAGAAAAACGAGAGAATAGTCTGGAGACGAGAAGACTGACCTAGTACCCCTAAAGCGTCACTGGAACGTAAAATTTAACCACGCTGTCGACAGTGGGTCATTATACCCGCGTTATATGTGGTGAACACTCGCCGCAAGGGGCTCCCGAGCACCTGAGGTGTGGCGAGTGCACGCTGAGAGGTGCTGGTGGTAACTGTTCACACACAAGGTTGCAAAGACTTAGTACTAAAATGAACGTGAAATACCTTACTGAGAATTGTTTATACTGATTACAAGTTGAAATGGTAATATTTTGGATGCAGTGGGTTAAAAAATAATATACTATTAGAACTAATTTCACTTGTTCCTTTTTTACCTTTTTTTAATGTGGCTACTAGAAAATGTAAAATTCTATGTGTGGCTCATATCGTCTTTCAATTGCACGGTGTTGGTACAGGTCACCTTGTGTCTGCAACTAAAGGAGGGGGACAGGGAGGGAGTGACAGGAAGCACCCTCAGGCTGGTGCAGACGGAGCGCCGTTACAACCATCACGACAAGGCTTCTGGGCACAAGGCAGCGTTGGGAACTGGTACAGGGCACAGCCCCCCAAGGCACAGACCACGCCTGCATCCATTCCCAATGAACTCTCCGAGCCCAAACTTTGGGCATTTCTGGACACGACTTGAAAGCATAAAGCCAAACAGAGAGTTACAAACATCTGGCCAAGGACTATACTTCTCTGGCTGATAATTAGGCTGCATCATTAAGAACAGACAGATATCTTGAAGTCATTCTGTATTTATGTGGCAAATGCTACAACCGCACAAAGCTCTGTGGTCCTTCCCAGTAGTTTCCAGATTCATAGCATTCAATTATTCATTCATATTGATCTATATAATTCAGAACAAAAGTCTTCTCTAACTTGATTCTGCTTCCTCCCTGTGGCCTGGAAGCTAACAAGGACAGACCAGGAATAGAGAGAGCATCCAACTGACAGACTGACAAGCAGTCCACCTGAAGTTGTTCCCACACCCAGCCTTAGGAAGCCACAGGGCAAACACGGCGTGGCCTTCATGGGGCTCTTCTCCCTGAAAGCAGTGACCCTGACTTGGGGGCACTGACGGCAGTTACCTCTGGAGCCGCTGCACGAGCTGGGCTACCATGGTGTCCGAGATCCCAGGGCACGCCTCTTCCGCCAGGTAGATGGCCCCTCGCAGTTCTTCTATGGACCCCATGTTACCTCCGCACGCCTGGCTCTTCTCCTTCAACTGAAACCACACAAACGTGAACAGCACAGGAACCAATGAGCATCTACTTCTGTGGACCATAACTGCTGCAGCCACCCAAGTCCCAGAAGCAGCTTCAGCTCAGCTGCTGGGTGACTTCCAATTCCTTTCGGTGACAGCTTTTTGAACGCTGAGAACACTATGTATAGAAAGGGCATCAGTTAGACTTAAGTCACCACCTTCACTAGGAAAGAACAGAGATACTAGTTGTCTGTGCATCTTTTCAGACTCTGATCACAACGTCTGCCCTGTTTTCTTTTCCCATTTCAACTTTAATCTTATCTCAGAAAAGCAATTTCAAAATCACTCAGCTCTGCTCTCCACACGGAAGCTGCAGTGTGGGCCATCTAAAGATTAGCTCCTAATCTTAATGGGTTGGTTCTTAAGACTCCAGCAAACTGCCTCTTTGGTCCAGAGTGCTGTCAAAGCATTCTATTTCATGTAAATAGGTGGCAGCCCTAAATTCTGGGAATCTGCAATGTCCATCTTGGCACCTCTGCTCCCACGAGAAATCTTAACAGTGTCTTTAGGCACCTCCCTCAGTTTAAGGTCAACTCTAAGTCTCTTTCTGGGATGTGACCAAAACGTGCACTGTGCAAGGAGAGCGCTCAGGTCAAGATGCAGCAGCGCGCAGGACTGACAGCCTCTCAGAACAGGCTCCAGAGGGCGGCGTGGAGTTAACAGGCACCAACTCGCTTCAGCAGCCCCCTCCCCGATTTCATCTTTAAGAAACAGTTCACAAAATATTTAGCTTTGGCTTTTCAAGCTGTTGTGAACCTAGGCTGTCATTCCCAGCACCAGTTTCCTTCTAAAAACAAGGGCTTCTCCCTTCTCCCTCTAAAAGGACATACAGGAGACCCGGAAAGGCCCGCCGTTGGGGGGGCCGGTGGGTGCTGAGGGCGTCTGCTCGGCACTTCCCAGAGTTTGTTCCCTATGTCCCTTCTCGTCACAGACTGCAACACAGCCGACCTGGAGACAGCTGCTTGTGTCCATCTAGGCCTCCCAATCATACAACAACTAAGGACAACAGTACTTATAAGTGCTGGGTGAGTAGCCTGCAACCCACCACTCTGCCTCCCTGCCCTGTCCTACAACCACCTTCTTCCACTGCCCACTCCGCCCCTTGAACCCACGGGAAAGATCCTCTGCCCACAGGCTGTTGCTGGACGGGCTCTATCAATCAACCCCGACCTGAGTGAGCCATCTGGGCACACAGAGTGATGTCAGGGAATGTCCTCATCTGTAGACATAGGCACAATGATCCTTAAGTACTGACCTTTATGACTATTACATAAAATGATGCACACTGAACACAGGTTGTCAAATATTAATAATACAAACATACAGGAAAAGATGCCTGTGAGTTCACCTCTAGGTTAGCTGAAAAAAATCAAATTATTACATTTAGGATTAATTTATTAATTCTGCATAATGACTTCAGAATAGCTTCTTCATGTACCCAATAAAAAATAAACAGCTTCAGGGCCGGCCCCGTGGCTTGGTGGTTAAGTGAGCGCGCTCCACTGCTGGCGACCCAGGTTCGGATCCCGGGCTCACACCGACGTGCTGCTTCTCTGGCCATGCTGAGGCCGCGTCCCACATACAGCAACTAGAAGGATGTGCAGCTGTGACACACAACTATCTACTGGGGCTTTGGGGGGAAAAAATAAATAAATAAAATCTTTAAAAAAAATAAATAAATAAAAATAAACAGCTTCAGACAACTGAGAAAATCTGTGCCATTTTCCCTAACTGCCTGATTGATCCTAGGGAAGTGTCAATGCAAGGTTGCAGGAAAACAAAGGAGCATCTAGACACCAGAAGGACCAATCTCCCAAACAACCTAATAAAGCAAAATGGGATCTTATGGACATCCTAGAATGAGCAAGGGCAGTCAAAAAATGGGCCATGGCTGGAGCCAGAAAGCGACACAGAGGGGCCTCTACCTGCCCTGTGCTGTTTGGTTTTCCATCTGAAACCAGTGTGTTCAGTGGTTTCAACTGGCACTTCTGGCTCAGGCCAGGGCCCCTCCAGCTGGGCCCCGATTTGCCAGGTTGGAAGCCAGGGCCCTTAGGCAAACTCATGAGGGCAGAAGCTGGGCCAGGAAAGGGATGGGAGCTGGGAAGAGGGAGCAGGACTTAGGGTGGTCGGGAACACCCTGGGCACTGCCAAGGTGAAGGCATTGTGCGAGCTAGGTTCAGGCCAGTGGAAGGCAGGAATGAGCCTGTGTGCGTGACACTTCCTTCCCACCCTAGACCATCCACCTCAAGTATGAGGATCTCCTGATACAGCCTCCCTGGAAAGCTCTGAATCACCACACTAACTGAAGGTACTGGTGTGACTCATTCTAAATTATCTTAAAGGTAGCCTGCACCAGGAAGGGGGCATAAGAAAATGAGAGACAGGGTATTTCCAACTTATTTTCAAATCAGCTACTAACTAGATGACGAATAATCTTCATTCTCATAAAATCCATTCTTGAAAATATCTCAAAATGCAATATGCACACAGACGTGCACAGGAGGCAGGGAGGGCTCCCCTGAGAACGAGCAGGAGCTGGCACACAGATGCAGTCAGTCACAGAACGAGGAACTGAAATGGGCCAGGCACACAGGAAACCAGCAGCCCTGCTGGGTAAGTGACCTCTCTGGATACGAGTAAGGATTAAGGTTAATCTGGGGGCTCAATGAGAAACATGAGGATGCCAGGGAATCCAATGTCTCCTTTAAAAAGAAATCCACTTTTTACATTGCTATAAATTTGTCTGTGGCAAAGAGAGGAGGATGCATCCAAATTGATTTTGTAGAAAGCAGCACAACTGAAGCTAAAAATCACCATGGTGACAAAGTGACTCAGGCCAGTCACTGATACCCCGTCTATACACTCAAGGCAGCGACACAGTGACGTTTCCCAGGAGGGGCTGGACGGTGCCCAGGAAGGCAGTGCCCGACTCCAGCCGGCCTCACGGAGCAGGCTCTCCGCCTGCTTGTGCTGGCTTATTCTAACCTCCCAAATCCTCCTGCAACACTGTCACAGGAGGGCCTGCCCCCATCCCATCCCCCCATCTCCCCCCAAAAGTCAACTGGATATCTTACCTCTGCAAAGAGAGGAAAAATAATTGTAGATAAACACTGAGAGAAAGGCCTCTTTGGGATGTCTTTCTTCTGGGGGAAGAAAAGAAGGTAATCAGAAATACTGAACATGCACATTTCCAACAATTCAGTAAACTGCAGATATGACCATCAAAGTCTGACGTCTTCCCTGTTCACTGTAACGTCTGAGGAGGACGGTCTCCCTGTCTTTCACTAGACTCTAGTTTCACTTGCAGGGACGCGCACAACCCATGCAGGTGGGCAAACCACAGTGACCAGATCCCACAGGGGAAGGCACCCGAGGGCCAGGACGTGGCACTCGGTGTGGACGCAGGCGATGCTGAATGGCACCACTGTGCTCTCTATGTAGAGGACTTGACTAACGAGACCTGGAAATGGAAAGCAGACTGATGCTGGCTATTTATTGCAAGTGGCTGTTGTGGAACAGTGGCTTAGTCTCTACTTTTGCAACCTCTATCTGAACACATAATGACTCCCATCCGCTTTTCAAGGGGGACTGCAGGATCACCAGGGGACAGCCACTGGTCCACACTGCCTGAGAGAAACTACACCACTGTGCTTTAAAAAATTCCTGAAAATATAGCTTTTTGTAAACTTAAACAGGCATGAAACCAATTAATCAAAAAAGTTTTATATAAGTAGCACAAGTAATACATTTGTTTTTACAATCCATAAATAAAACTTAATCACAAAATTCTGGTACCTTCTATGTGTAACCCCAATATGCAAAACACACAGTCTCCTCAAGAGAGCTAGAACGTCATTTCATATGTGAAACCTCATTCACCCCCCACCCAACTCCCACTATATGTCCCAGTGTCGGGAAATGCCGACTCCACAGCAGGACAGCAGGGCTCCAGAGAGCAGAAATCAGCACTAGAATAGACCCGAGTCCAGATTCTCAGGTCTCAATCTCTGCGTAATCAGACAGAACAAAATCTTTTATCTGCCAATTCACTGACAGCAAAATTCCAAAACAGGCTGCCAAGAGGGACCACCTAGGCCACTAAAGCAGCAGGCTTCACACAAAAGTGACTCCAAAATGCCCCGACAGATGACAAACGTTAGTCACTCTAGCACGAGCAAATGTACCTTATCTCTTTCTAAATCCGATGGCTGAAGAGTTCCATTCTCAAGACTCAGGGAATTCTTCTCTGAGTCCGGGAAGTTCCAGCCCCCCGAGTCGCTGCCTCCGGATGCTTGGCCGTCCGTGTCCGTTTCCCTTAACACAGAAATCCAGGTGACCTCTGTGAGTGAGCACGCTGGCTCTGCGGGGAGACCCACTGGCAGCCCCTCCATCTACACTCTCCAACTCCACTGAGCACTCGACGCCGCCCAGCTACCCGTGCCTGCCCTGTCTCACCCCCACACGCCACACCCACTCCCAATCCTCTCCACTCCCACCCATCACACCCGCCTGCAGCCTCTCCTGGGTTTTCAGAAGACAACCCTGCCTCCTATCTCACAGAGAGAGACCATCAGAATGTGGTTCCTGTAACTTCCCACAGTGCCAGCTGCGTCACACTCATCCCTCCCGCCTCCTCAGCTGTGAAGAGGCGCCCCTTCTCCTGTAGAACAACTCTCCAGTCCACTGACAGCCCCTCTCTCCTGGACTTCATCTTCTCCCCCCTTAGGCTCCTTCCTACCAACATTTAAACAGACACTCCTTTTGCTCACTCAACGCAACCTCCCTTCTAGCAGTGTGAACTAGTGCTAGTCTCTGCCACGTTTCTTGGATGTGTCACCTGCACTCTCCAACTCCATTTCTTACTTCCACTCACTCCAAAGCCCACCTTGTCCCTCCATCTGCTATGTCCAAAGCCACCAATCCTCTGCACACCACTAGACAAGGGAGTTACTGCTGAGTCCTCATCCTGCCTGGAGCCTCAGCAGCAAATGATCCTGCTAAGCACGCCCCTCCTCCTCTAGACTCTCTGGACTCCTGGGTCCGCACTGCACTGGCTCTCCTCCTACTGTCTCATTCACAGGTTGTCCTTTATGCTGGGATTTGGTCCTAGGCCTCCGGCCCTTCTCACTCTGCAGATATGCTCTGAGCAACACCATCTGTTCTCGTGGTGCCAACGAGCATTTACAGAGCAGTGAGTCTAAATCCTTACCATCTGCCTAGACATCCTGCCTGAACTCCAAACCACGATGTCACTAAACTGGACAGATCCTCCGACTGGACACGTCCAGTCAGCAACTCGAACGTGTCTCACATCAAACTCAGCTTCTAGAGGGTACAGCCCTGGCCTCCCTGGACCAGCTTCTTCTCCACTGCTGTCATCTCAATGGCACCCGCCACCCTGCTGAAATCTGGATTGTCTCCACATCCTTTACCCAAATCCATGGCCACGTCTGGACTCCCTGTTCATCTTTTCATCTCCACTGCTACCACCCTAATCTCTCAACGCCATGACCTCAACCACTTCCCAGTCAGTGGCTCTCACTCTTGGCTTTACAACGGCATCACCTGGGGACCCTGAAAAACCACTTTGGGTCTCATCCCCAGCAATTCTGATTCCACTGGCCCGGCATGTACATCCGGGCTGTGGGTCAACTTGAACTTCCAGCCAAGGTGTGAAGGAGAACAGAAGAGGGACTATGGATTTAGGGGACTTCCCATCACGACACTTCCTAATGCTTCCTTTCTCCCTTCACGTCAGAGCCAGAGCCAGCTTTCCTGACCACTGTGTACTGAAATGGCATCTAGACCTAAATTAACTGGTCTCTTTAACTAATGGAACTCCTAGATGCTTAACGTGACACCAGCTTTTAGTAAGAGCTTTTACAATGCCAAGCATCTACCAGAACACAAGACAGAATCGATAAAACATATATTTATCTCTTTTTAAGAAGATATTTAAAGCAGTTTCATCTGATCACTATTTTAAGAGCAGGAAGTATCATGGAGAAAGAAATCAGGTCAAGTTCTTGATGTACAGTTCTAACTCAGAGAAACTCCAATGGCAACAAAAAAGAGGCTAAAAGACTCCCAAACAGAGCCAAACTAATTCAAGAATCACCATCAACCTGGATTATCTTTAAAAAAAAGAAACCCCAACCCACCCCTAACAAGAGATGAGAACAGGCCCATGTCACGCACACCACACGGCTCAGACACACACCCTGGCTCACAGACACAACCCGGCTGGCTCACACCCCTCCCGGCTCACACCTGCCCTGCGTGACTCAGGCAGAGCTGACTCACGTGTCTGAGTCTTCGGAGCTGGAGTCTTCATGGCTCTGTTCGGCCTTCCATCTCTTGTACCTGTCGATGAGCTCCGTCAAGTAGGATGTTTTCTTTGCGTTGCGTATTATAAACTTGTGCTTCAGTAACTCCTTAGCAGTGGGTCTCTGGGGAACAAACCAACAAACAAAACCAGAAAAAGCATGAGATGAAGTTCCCTACCTTCTACTTTATTCTACCCTGAAGGTCAGACTTCTGCCTCCAAATGTCAAACAACCACACTAATGTGTAAAAATCAAGTTCTACTTTGAAGTTTTTTTCCCTAAGACTTATTCAAATAGTCATGTAGCACCTGTGGGGGGCACTCGGTGTAGTGTGGACATGGCATTTACTATCCAGTGGGGTCCTTAACATTCTGCAGGGAACCATCCAATGAAAGCAAGAGAACTTCTCCCAAAAATGCATTTGCACAGAAAACGTTGCAGAGAATTTTCACAGAGATCATTCAAGAGATCTAGATTATACCTCCTAGTTTTTATAAAACATTTTATTACAAATGCTGGCAAGAGAGAAAACATATGTTCTATGTTACCTTGTTAACTTTCTATATTAATGTTTGGTTCTACCCCCCAAAAGAAGAAGATAAATGTTAATTTGGATCCATCTAGAAGAAACCAGAAAGGAGCCAGGAGATACCCTTTTCTTGCATGCTGAGAGCTCCTGAGTTCTCTCGGTCATCAGCTTCCCCAGTGTAGAAATGCTGGTTTCCCAGGTCTGCCCCTTTCTTTGTGAGTGGGGTGAGGACTTCATCCAGGCCCCGGGCTCAGCATGGCCACAGCCAGACAGCATGCTTTGCACTTGGCCAACTGCTTTGCCCTTGAGGGTGGCAAACCGCATTACAGGGCGCATGCTTCCCAAGGAAACTGCATATAGCCCAAATTGGAGCAGACAGCAGGAACAAACAAACCACGCGAGTTAGACTAAGTTTCCACTTACTCTCAATTACTAAAGCTTTACTAACAAGAGCCAGGCATGGTCCTCAAATTCCACCTGGGAAACACCTGGCCCCCTCAGGTGTTCCTCACTCCCTGTCCACGCGCTTGTGAAACTCCACGTATCTCAGAAGTGCTTAGTCCCAGCTTCTCATCCTTCCCCTCGGTGCATTTCAGGTCAAGGTACGGGTGGAAATGTGTGCACTGGGCCAGTAAGCCGAGAGGAGAATACATTTTCAATGGGAAGATGTGCACACATCTAGGTAGGTGTGTCTTCTTGGGTGCGGGTGCACTGAGGCTAGGAACCAGCAACACGACACACCGCTCAGAGCCTTGTGGACACGCAGAACAGCTGCCCCACACCGCCCGATGCCTGATGCCTGACGCATTAATAAAACGCTGACCTGGTGACCTCAGGCTGCATCCCTTCCAGGTTCTTGGAAAATGCTGCGTTCCCATTTAATTCCTTTCCCAAAGCTGGAATCATATCAGAAAGCCATGGTGCTCTTGTAAAACTAATCACCCATGTTTAGATAAGAGTTCATAAAAAGGGGATTTCAGCTTGGCCTTCAGCTAACCTTGCTGGAAAACTCAGAAACAAAACAAGGACATATGGTGCTATCCACACACCAAAATACACAGATACTTTCCAAAGAAATGTCCTAATTCAGAGAGAAAATCAGGCTAACGCTATGTAGTTGTTACTGCTCCACGGCTCTGCCCATGTCAATTAAACACAAGGAAAGTGAGAGGGAAGAGGGGAGAAAAGCAAGGTGGGTAGTTCATTCATATTTAATTTGCCTTTTCTTTCCTAACACATGCCAAGAAGAAACTGCAAACATTGACTTTAAAGATATATTTAGCCATTATTTTTCAGGCCAGACTTGGTGATTACTAAAAACAGCATAGCCTGACCTTCCACTACAAACATTAAAAATTTATGATTCCACATATAATATTAAGGAGAATAGTCTCCAAGCTCAATGAGGTATGAGATGCTAGAAAATCTGAAAGAAAATAAGATTTTTGATCCTTAAAAGAAAAAATAACAATAAAAATATATTTGCAATTCAAAGAAATCAATCATACCCATTTAGAAAAAGAAAAATAAACTAGATCATGAAGACAGCTGACAATAGTGATTAAAGAAATTCCAATGAGATGTATCTAGACCAAGCCAGGCCACACATGAAGAGATGCCCATCCTGATCTTGTGAAACTCACAAAGCTTGGTTCCTTATTCAAACAGGCCTCCACAAACTCCTTGAGGGGTTTGCTGTAGTTTCCTTCCAGCGTCGGGGGGGTTGTTCTTTGGAATGAGGAATAAAACCTTCATGGGATGCAGCTCCGAATGAGGTGGCTCCCCTTTTGCAAGTTCTATAGCTGTTATGCCCAGCGACCAGATGTCTGCCTGCAACAACAAAGCATCTTTAGAAACACCCAGCAGGAATAAATTCAAATAAATATACCTCTTAGGAAAAAAATACATCTCAATGTACTTCTAAGGTTCTGAAAAAGATGATTATTTTTAACTGAAAATAGAAAAGATAAGCCTTCGTTATAATTTCAAAATAGGCAACACAGAAGAGGAGAAAATTTACTATACAAAACATCTTCCACCTCTCTCCTGAAGACGGCTGTGACAATTACTCCTTGTCCACCTACTGTTGGAGGGATAAGCTGCTCAGCGTTCATTTAAGTCCCTGGAGTCAACAGGATAGGTAACTAGAGGTGATTTGGCAAGTGGAGGCGTGTTTGCAAGTCACCCCACCAAGCAAAGCTTAGATTAGAACTAAGCACAGCTGTGAGGTCGAGAGCAGGCTCCCTGGTCTCAGAAACAGGTTTAAATGCCAGCCTACAATCCAAGTGTTGTGACATCAGACAAAAGACCTAAGCTGTGAGCCTTGTTCCTTCCTCTGTAAAATGGGAACAACAACAGGGTGGCTGTGCGAGCTGCCTTAAATAGCTCCCAGAACTTTTATGAAAATGTTCGAATATACATAGAAGTGGAGAATATTAATATAATGCACCCCCATCGACCCATTACATGAATTTTTTTTTTCTTTGCTGAGGAAGATTCTCCATGAGCTAACACCTGATGCCAATCTTCCTCTTTTTGCTTGAAAAAGATTCACCCTGAGCTAACATCTGTGCCAATCTTCCTCTATTTTCTACGTGGGTCGCCACCACAGCATGGCCACTGACAAGTGGCGAAGGTCCATGTCCGAACCCAGGGCGCCGAACGGGAGTGCACCGAACTTAACCACTAGGCCATGGGGGCCGGCCCTACCTATCACGTGAATTTAATTATTATTAACAATTTGCCATACAAGCTTTGTCTATTTTTTGCCATAGTACATTTTTAAGTAAATCACAGACATCATGACATTTTTCCCTGAGTACTTCAGTTTGCCAATATAAGGACTTTTTACTATATATCAACACCTAAAATTAACAATAATTCCTTACTATCATGTAATAATTAAATTTCCTCAACTATCCAAAAAAGTCTTTTCATGGTTGGTTTATTTGAATCAGGATCCAAACAAGGCCCATATGTTTCAACTAACTGTTAGGTCGCCTAAGGCTCTTTTAATCCAGAACTTCCACTCCCCAATCTCCCCAGTGCCACTGACTTGAGGAAGAAACAGGCCCCAAATTCTGGGTTTGTCTGGCTTCTCCTTGGTGTCACTTAATGTGTTCTAGCTCTTGTGTTTCCTGGAAATGACAGGTTAATTAAATCTAGAGGCTTGGCTAGATTTGCTGTTGGCAGGAGTCAGGGGGCACCTGGTGTCCAGCTCCTGATCCCTCTCCTGCCCAGCAGGTGCCTGTGGCCTCGGCCGGCCAGTTAGGTGGATGAACGAATTCCGTGACCGTGTGACGTAAGTGACAAGAGCAGGCAGTCTGGAGGAACTCTGGTTAACGAGGCTCTCCCAGCCGCCGATGCCAATCCCCAGGAAAACAGAGGCTGAAAAAGCAGCAGGACCACACAGGCCAGCAGAGAAGAGGGGACGGCGAACAACTACCCTGCTCTTGTCCCTGTGCACTGCAAACCCATCTTAATTCCAGGCAATGACGTCAGAACCTAACAAATCTCTCACACTCACGCTACAGCAAGGAAATGAAAAGGCTGAAACGCCATTTAGGTCACCATAGGACCTAGACATTTTTCAACCTTTAACAACCTGGAGAGGACTCATCTGCCATGTTCCTGAAACCCTAGTGAATACCAGACGTCCTCACCACAATCTCCCCCAGCCCAGCAGTCCGGGGGGTCGATGCCTACCATGTATTCTATTTGCTTCTGTTTCCAGTGAAGGTGGGAATAACTGTCAGCAAGCCTTGTTCTAAATTCTTTGTACTAAATTTGTAATAAAGGGATCAGTCTAGAAGAACCAGTATCAGGAGTAATGTTCCTATTTCCCTTCCCTCTACAACTTGGACTCTGCTTTATTTTACATGTGTATTATTTTAAAAATCAGCACAATGTGACTTATTCCAGAGTCCCCCCCGCCAGGAGGAGGAAGATGGGTGCAACGGAGTGTGCCAGCAGTGTGCATCTGTAACTGTGCAGGAGGACATGGGTAAGTGTGCAAGGAGGGAGGGCGAGTTACAAGAACAGAGGAGGCAAAGATGACCGAATGCTCAACCCTCATGTGGTAGCGGCTCTTTACACAACAAGCCCCTTTCTAAAGTTTGTATGATTCTACATGTATATGCCTACTCCAGCTCTCTTGGATCTCACTAGAATTGCTGCTGTTTGCAAAGCCTGCTGCTCAGCACCAATCTGCCTCCCGGCTGTACAGATATAGGGCCTTTGTCCAGATACCTCTGATGAATGCACCTCCAGACCCCCAGCATCCCATAACCACTTAAACACACTCCTTAACTAGAAGGCCCAGGCCGACGATGGTGTCTGCTGGCAGTCTGTCACGGGATGTGCTTGCCCTCATCTCCTTCAGAGGTCCGAGGGCTTGCTATCAGGCTCCGGGCCAGAAAATAAGCAGACAGGCCCCAAGACTTCAAGGACCTGGCACCTGCTTCCATATGCCAGGATGCCCCAACTAAAGTCGACTGAGGAAACAGCCTTCCCAGTGCTCCCGTAACACATCTCTTCAGAAAAGAGGCACAGGCATCACTCACCTGCTTCCCCTGGGGGGGCACCAATAGAGCCTCGTCAAGAAAAATGTGCACCACCCTCCCAGGCTGCCAAGCCAGGAGCCCGAGTGTCACCACAGCTCCTTGGAACTCCTCTCTGGATCCCTCTAAATCAACCAGGTGCCAGGTGTGTCGCTCTCGACCTCTCAGATCCCGGGGTCCCTCTCTGTCCCTCCTGCCCTGGCTTAGTTTAGAGCTACCCTCTCCCCCCAGGACTTCAGTAGGGGGCTCCTAAGTGTCTTCCTGCCCACAGGCTCCCTCTCCAGACATCTAACATCTCGCTGACTAATGTGGAAACCTTGATTGGCACTTGAATAAATGGCAAGCAATTTGGCATTATGTATCAAAAGCCATAAAAATATCCAAACTGGTTAAAATCATTTAATTCCCCTTCTAGGAATCTAGCCTAAATAAATATATTTTAGATTTAGAAAATGGTATATGCTGCCAAAAATATTCAATAGCAGCATTACTTACACTAACCCTTAGCAGAATGATTTAGTTGTTATGGCACATTAACCTACTGAAGTATCATGTATCCAACAACAATGACATTGATAGAGAATCACAAATATAACTGAGTTGGTCTACTATTATATCTAGGAAAAATGGCATCAGATTTAGAACATGTGTCTGGGTTTTAAAATAAAAGTTTTGGGGGGGAAAGGGCAGTCCTTTTCCAAAGCAATTAAAACTTAGGTATCAGAAGAGATCTGTTTTACTGCCATTTGGGAAAGACATGAAATCAGATATTAAGAGAAAACAAACAGTGGTTTTCAACATGAGCCCAAGTCAAAAGTTATTAGAGGCAGGTGCTTTGAACTGCAGACACTTATTTGTGAACAGGTTTTTTCCTCTGTGGACAGTTCTAGGTAACATGCTCCTAAGTGACAACACAGGATTACTCGTTCCTGGTGATCAAGGACTTTTCTCAATGGGAGTGGGGGAGTGGAAGTCAAGTGCTACCAATAGACAACATTCTAAATCCCTGCAATACCATGTTAATTAAGTAAAAGTAAGCTGGCTACAAATCTGCAGATACAATATAATTTAAGTGGCATAAAAAATTTATGGATAGAGTATGTTCTAGAAGGAACCACAGTCAACTCTCTATAATCAAGAGCAAGAGAGGGAAAAAACCATGGAGAATCCCAAATCACAGTTATAACTAATCAAAACATAGTTCAAAATGGACTTCATATAAACTATTTACTTAATTAGATGCACTATTTAGGCACACATTCGTAAGCAGCACCTAGAGATAGAAAAATTGTTTACAAGCTCTAACTAGCAATACACGGTTGATCTGAAAGGGCCCAACCATTACCGTGTGCTAAAATAAAGCCTGTTAGTCTCCAAGCTGGATGCTTTTCCCACTCACATCCTTCCCCCACCTCCAGGGCTCACTATTCATGGCCAGGACTGTGGGTAATTCCTGATGCTGCAGAGGGACCAGGGGAGGCCAGTGGGCTCGGCCTGCGGACGGGGAGGCCCAGTCACACGCTGCAGTGGCCAGGCTACCTGCACAGATTCCAACAACAGACGGGCTGATACTGCCGTGTTGTCACTCATCTTTACCAATTTTACTTTTTTCCGTCAACGCATCACCCATCTCCATTTTCCACCATGGTTAGACAGCAGACAGTTATTTCAGAGATGACTGGACACCAAAATCACTTAGCTTGTGCTTGAGTGGTGGGTCTGCAGATGTTTTCCATCCTTTTTTTTCCTCCTGTGTTTTCCAGATTAAAGAGTACATATTGCTTCCGAGGCCAAAAAAGGGAAAAGTTATTTATAAGAGAATACTGGCACCAGCCTCTCAGCGACATGGATGTCGTTTCAGTTAACAGGCAAGTCAGTTCTCTGGCCTCATCTCCTACCACACTCTTCACCAGTCTACGATCCAAATACAAATGTCTCTTCTTTCACACTGGACTTGGTCTGAACGTCCTTCCCTCACCTTTGAGAGGCTAAAAAGCCCCATGTCTGTGAAGCCTTCCCCAGCTCGCTTGAACATTCCTCACTCAGCTCCCCTGCACTCCTTGTCCCATTAGAGCACCTGACACCCAGGAGCGCAATTACTAGTGGAAAATGTAAATTATTTAGCACAGCACTGGACACAACTACAGTAAAGACTGAATGAATGAATACAGAGAAAGGGACGTGAAGCAGGGACACTGTCTTTACCCAAGTCCAGTCCATTTACTGACACACCATCATAATAACCGTACAAAGAAAGGGAAAAAAAGATTTAAGTTCTTTAGCCCAAGATCCTAGTCTAGGATTGAAAGTAAAGGCTTCTCTGTGGGGGAGCAGAGTTATCTCCCTTGGCACCATCTCCAAAGTTTGGGGACCTCTTACAAACCAAGCTACCCTAAATAATAATGACGACGACGATGATGATGATGGATGATGATGATGATGATGATGATGATGATGATGATGATGATGAAGGTTCTTAAGGCATACAGGCAATCACCATTTAGTAATATTGTGCTTAGATTAAGAACTGAGATTGACATAAGCACCCCTGTATGGGCAAACACATTCAGAACACCTAAGCAGCCTCGACAGACAACAAGGGGTCAAAGATACTGAGGTTATTGTGTTAGACAGGATTCTGGATGTATATATAAAATTAGGCTTATATTCCCTTTAGTTCAGGGAGATGAAGATGCTCGTGAGGCAGGTGCATTCCTTGCATTCCATTCCTTTTCACAACCTGACCTTCCTCTGAGAATCAGTGTGTACCCAAACATGAAACTGGTGGGAGCCTGCTGTCCTAACGATGGTCACAGACTCTGCTACCCCAGGGCTGTAAGCTCCTGACCTGTAATGCAGACACTAGTGGAAATGCCCAAAAGTACGTGCAAGGAAGAATGGAAGGGGCAACTGGAAAGAAGCAAAATAAGTTTGTCTCAGGAGACCAGAGTGGCCACAAGAGCTACAATGTCCCTCGAAGAACATAAACTGCCCTGTCAGGCAAGCCTCTGAGAGGTGACGCAGCCACTGGAAGGACATCCACAAAGCAACCTCAGAAAAACAGCCTCTGGGGGGCCGGCCCAGTGGCGCAAGCAGTTAAGTGCGTGCGCTCCGCTGTGGCGGCCCGGGGTTCCCCGGTTCAGATCCCGGGCGCACACCAACACACTGCTTGGGAAGCCACGCTGTTGCGGCGTCCCACATAAAGTGGAGGAAGATGGGCACGGATGTTAGCCCAGGGCCAGTCTTCCTCAGCAGAAAAAGAGGAGGATTGGCAGATGTTAGCACAGGGCTGGTTTCCTCACAAAAGAAACAAAAAGGCCCTCTGTTAGGTATTGCTCATGACAAGAGCTGTTAGCCCAGCGTCACAACAAATGGGGTGGGTGGGTGTGTGTGTGTGTGTGTGTGTGATCATCTCTAAGGCCCCAGCCTCTGGAACCCCACTTCTTATAAGCCTCAAGACTCAGACACTAACATTAGCCTTATCTGCACTTTCCACACCCTCTGGGTCAACAAACCTGGGAAGCAAATTTCAGATAAACATTTTCTTTCACACATGATTTCCAGTTAAGAGCTGTGTTGGGTATGATTCAAGCAAATGGAAGAATTAGCTCCTGACACAAGCTATAGTAAAAGGAAAAGCAGTTAAAGGCTAGCAAGAAATGTGACACATTTCCTCAAGCTCCCCAACCAAGTGTGCGTTCCCTGTGAGTCTGAGGCAGCATCTTTTAATCTACCGAAAAAGAACATGTTGTACGACATCTCCTGATCAGAGGAGAGCACTTTCATCTTGACAAGAATGCCAGGAAAAAAGGGCAACGCTTTACAATGCAGTACAATCTCTCCTGCTCAGAGGCCGCCTTCCCCCAGAGAAGCCCTGCACTACAGAAGAAGAGGGAGGGGAAAGACCTTGGGCAGCAGGACAATTCTCGAAGAAAGAGGGTGAAGTGAGCAGTGGTGAGTGATACTCAAATGTAGGAACTGAATCCCGAGTCACATGTGCCGTGGTTGATCAGCTAATTTACTAGAAAAAAAGAGAAGAGAATAATCAGCATGGTATAATCCGATGAGTTAAGAAACCTGGATTCTAGGCACAGCCCAACCAAAATCTACCTATGATCTTTCATAAATGGGCCTCAGCTTAAAATAAAGAGAATGGACTGAACACATAAGTTCCTGTCAAGTCCTAAAATGACATGACCCTAGCAAAAGGGCCAATAGCCGGAGTGGCTGCAGAGATCCGAAGCAGCTTTGGGGGTCATCAAGTAGCTATAGGGGGTCATCCACGACACAGCGCAGACCACTTACAGCAACAAAACATGCCCAAGACTAGACAGCTCTGCTATCCTGGGCCTTGAAAACCTAATGGTCACTTAGTGGCCACAGGCTACCAAGGCCATTGGGATGCCCATGAAGTCCTGGCCACCATACAACCCAACAGTGAGACAGCCAGGCCCACCTCTGCTGTGCTGAATCAGGTACACCTGCAGCTTGAACTCAACAACCACTCGCAGGGGGGACCTGAGGCCCTGAGGAAAAGTTACTCTGTGCTCCTGTGCTGGTTTAACAAAGCAGGAAGTCTACTGCATAGTGAGATTTCCACTTAAAGAAAAGAAACAATATATCACGTAGATGTATCTGAGTTAAATATTTGTTTGCCTAGAAATACTGGTTCAGAAGAGCCAATCCTCTGTGACCATGTGGAGATTTTACTGCATGCACCTACTGAGAAGTGGGGGGTTGTGAAAGATGGGAGTTAAATCAGAGATCCAGGAGGCAGGGTCCCTAGGTTTTTTCGTCTATACTAAAAAGTTCAAGAAACTTGAAGGGCAACAGGAGAAAAAGCATACAGGAAAAATTGGGAGAGTAGAACATATGACAGGTAAAAAAGGCTGGAAAGAAGGAATTACAATTTTGCCTCATGTTGGTAAGGAGCCTGAGGGTGACAATCCTGAGAACTAAAAATAATGACAAAGAGTCTGTGTGATCACTACAAGCATTATTCTTTCCAGATTCTGGTCGTACTATCTGTGTGGACACGCGTTTCTCTTGTGGGATCCTCTTTCTGTACTTGTCCCTTAAATGTGGTTCCGAGTTCTGCCCAAGGCCCTCTTCCCTCATCCGCTCCTCTCAGGCTTCAACCACCACCTGTACCCAGACAAGTTCCCGGTACCTCTGCAGACCCACCTCCCCACGTGCCTCCACTGCACTCCTCCACCCGGATGTCTCAACAGGGCCGAGCTGAACCCACTCTCGCCAGCGTGGTCCTCTGCTCCTCCACACTCACCTTCAAAACATGCTCCTGCTCAGTGTTCCCCACCATCCTACAGACACTGTTGAAGCTCAAAACCTCACTAACTGTGGACTAGACAAATAAAGGGCATTAACGATGTGGCACGAGACAGAGAAGAAACCTGTTTTCAAACAAGGTCCAAGAACTACCCTTATGACCTACACTTCAGGGTACCCGCTTCACTCCAACTGGAAAAGCTATTAGGTTCAAGTAAAAGGGGTAACTCTCCGGACCCGCGAACATAAAGCATCGGCCTCACCTTCGAGTCGTAGGCGGACTGTTTAATGACTTCGGGGGCCATCCAGAAAGGGGTGCCCACGAAGGTGTTTCTCTTTATCTGGGTATCTGTCAGCTGGCCCGCCACTCCAAAATCGGCCAGTTTCACCTCTCCATGTTCTGAGAGCAAAACGTTGGCAGCTGCAAAATAAAACCAAAGATGCCTCCTGACATTATTTGCTGTACTGTTCGATCCATTACCATTTTGGGAATGTGTGCATTCTCTCCCCAGAGACATCACGTGCTCAACAAGAACAGGCACCAAGGGGATGCTTCTGGTTAAACTCCTCTCAAAAGCCAACCCACTCCCAGGCACGTTGAAGGTGCTCTACAACTACGTGCAGGACAAGCTCCTTGAGAAGAGAAGCAGAGTCTACCTCGACAGCTCATTCCTACCCGCCTGGGGTATTCCAAAGGAATAAACACAAGATGTTTTCTTACCTTTAATATCTCTATGAATTTTCTTCTCTGAATGCAAATAATCAAGTCCTTTCAGTATTTCTCTTAATATAGTAGCAATCTGAGTTTCATCTAAAGGGCCAGGTTCTAACTAATAAGAAAAAAATTATTAAAGTTATTTAAATGATTATCTCAGAAGAAGTTTGAGATGATAAAACAGTCAATCCCTGTGTTAAACAGACAAGGATAATTAAAATCTAAAATCTTCACTCCAAAAGAGACATTTTTCCCAAACAATTAAAACCTATATAAAGGGCCCTAAAAAAAAAACAAAAAACAAAGAACCAGAGAAAATGACTTCGCTGAATGAAGCAAGGCTGGCTAAAAGAATCAAAGTAGAGCCAATGAGAAAGCCCGGGGTCAGCCCTGCCGTGCCTGCAAGCTGAGCTGAGGGTTTTTAGCCCAGAAAGCAAAGTCCAGAAACTCACGGCCCTTGCTAGGTAGGACACACAGCAGCTTGGCTCTGTCCGAACATATGTAATGGTTAGCAAAACACAAGCGGTCAGAAAGAGGCCTGGGAGCCAGCCACATTCTGAGGCTACCCCTGCCCCAGAATTTTTTAAATCTGAATTTTAAAACTTGAGGGAAGAGAGCTGAAAGAGCTCAAATCCTAATGATTTGAGACATTTTGTTATTCAATATTTATGTTATTCCAAATGAGGTAATAACAGCCTCTGAAAACTTATATTGTGAGAAACTCAAAGGAATTCACATTGACTGCTTGTTATTCATAATTGTACAGAGATGTAAGGAAGAAATGTCAAGCACAAATATCCCCATTTTAAAAGGAAAAAATTAGGTTCTAGAGCTCAGTTCAAATTGGAAAGTGATTCCACCATCACTTGCAGAGCAGGGAACTCAACCATAACTAATAATTACATAAGTTACTTCAGCAAAACAACCTAAACTCCGTAAAGGGCTAAAAATGGAACCATCTGAAAGAGGGGCAGAATTCTAATAATATAAATTAATTTTTCATCTGAATGATGATCCTCGATATTACATTTTCAGACTTGATGGTGAATGCCATAATAACCCAAATTCAAACACTTTAGTCAACAGGAAGACACAACCCCGTGACCTTCACTGAGTAAGTTTTCAAAAAACAGATGTGCTTTAAACCAAAGGGAATGAAAACCAGGCTACTCCTTCTAAGGCAGAGTTCTGACTGATGTGCGTACATTTTCTTGGACAGACAGTCCTACTTATGTCTCAGGGCCTTTGCCCAGATGATGGCAACAGAACAAGTGTTTATGGGGCCTAAGGTGGGGGCAACTGAGACACCCCTTCTAGCTTCATTCCAACTTTCTGGTTCAACTTAGCGAGCTGTGCCGCCTCGGATCACAGGCCAACCTGGTCTACACAGAAACCCACAAAGTCCAGGCCGGGGGATTCTCATTCTCAAAGTTGGGGGCTGCCTCTCCTAGCGCTGCCTCACTGGGACTCTGCTGGTCTGGCAGCAGGGCCCGTCCAGGATCAAGCTGCTTTCTCACATTCAGAACACACCTGTGAGAGAGTGGGCCGCTCACTTGCAGTTTTACCACATATGCTCAGAGAAAGTCACACTGCTCCCGTCAACTAGCCTGCCAGGAAGGACCCCAAATTCTAATTAAGATTTTGCCCCAAAATTGCCTCAGACTAAGGCAGCATGTTGCACACTTTGTTCCCCAGAAGCTAATCTTTCCCAGTTATCTGACCAAAAGTCTTATTTTCAAGAAACACACATCAAAACTACTGTTCCAAAGAACACAACCCAGAAACCTCGCCTTGTCTGCCTTCTCCACACCTATTTTTGAGTGTTCATAGAATGTAGAAATTTTAATGCTCAAAATGAGGAAAATGCACTTTTCTCATAACCTGGGGAAAACGGGGAGGGGTCAAGACGCTGGCGTATTTGCTCTTATTCACAACACCAGAACACAGAAGGATAATTAATCCAGTCGTTCAAAATCCTCTCACAGAGTGGAGGTTCCATTTCCTCCTCCAGCAGGTTTTACCCAAGCAGACAATCAGTAACATTCGGCTAGACTTGGGCTTAACCACCTCCTCCCCTCTATTATCAAGGCTCTGGAAAGAAACAGCAGAGCAGCCTGGTGTTATCACCAAGGGGAGATAAGAGCTGAGGAAAACTAATTGAAAAATGTTCCCCTGGATCATTTAAGAGCTGGCTCTCTGAAATGTATGTATGGTTATGCTGGTTTTGTGCGTGTGTGCGTGTGTGTGTGTGTGTGTGTGTGTGTGAGAGAGAGAGAGGAAGATCAGCCCTGAGCTAACATCCATGCCAATCCTCCTCTTTTTGCTGAGGAAGACTGGCCCTGAGCTAACATCCGCACCCATCTTCCTTTACTTTATATGGGACGCTGCCACAGCATGGCCTGACAAGCGGTGCATCAGTGCACGCCCGGGATCCGAACCCGGGCCGCCAGCAGCAGAGAGCGCGCACTTGGCCGCTACGCCACAAGGCCGGCCCCTGGTTATGCTCTTTTAAATCTGGCCCACACACCACCCACCAATGGTCTATATGCCATGTGGGGATGGTAGGGGAAGGGGAGAAAGATGAATACTCTATTTACAGGGTGGGAGATCCTTCATGGTGTCACAATTCACTATAAAATGTATTCAGTTGTTCTCCACACCACTAGCGGGTAAGACCAGGCTGAGCTAAATTCTCAGAATTATATATTAGCATTCTCCTCCATTACCACTTCTAAGCAGTATAAACATGGTGGTCTCTATCATTAAGAAGACTGTGGGATCTTCAAACAATCTTTATAAAAGAAAGACTTCCAGGAAAAAATGTGGATTACATCTCATCTCTGGGTGACTTCTAACTCCCTCTCCCCCAAGTCTGTTCTCGCCTTTTCCTCTGTAATAGAGACTATCAGCCAGGCACATGGTCACCCAACTAGAGACCACATTAGACAGCCTCCGCAGCAGCAAGTCTGGCCACGTGACTAAGTCAATGGAATGTGAGCCATGCCTCTTCCTGGTCTTGGCTTTGAAACACTGGCAGCTGGAGAGGACAAGGAGTGAAGAACACAGGAAGCCATGGGCTACAGATGGTAGAGCCACCCACCAGCGCAGGGCCCTGATGCTATGTGGACCAAAGCCTACTGACCTTACACGTGGCAGAGAAATAAATTTCTATCTTGTGTGACACACTGTTTGGGGGCCACTACAATAGCAGTTTAGCTTAAATGTTAATGAATATGCCATCTCACTTTTTTAAAACCATGTTGCATACTCATTTTTAAGTCTGTCAAACATCTCTGCCTAATTGAGTGACCAATTTATGTAGCATAGCTCCTTCTTAATTAGATTCCAAGGTTGTCCCTTAGATTCTCCTGCAATGCTGATTGATCTTTTAATCAGCTAAAAATCTTTTAGACTCAGGCCTCCTGTTGCTAATCCTCATTCCAATTCTCCCTCTTCACCTCATTCTGCTTTGTTTTCCTTGTAGCATTTTCCCACATACGATATAACTGCCAGTCCTCCCTCACTAGACTACAGCTCCATAAGAGTGGGGGTTTTCTTCTGCCTCATTCACTGCATAACTCCCAACAGCCAGAACAGTGCCTGAGATGTAGTACGCACACAGCAAATATTTTCTGAATGAAAAATGAATTCACCCAAAATCTATCACATTTTAAGTCATAAAGTCTTGAACTGTGTGATACCTATTACACTTGTAAGTCATGGGACCCTAGAAGCAGAAGGAACTTGAGAAATTATTTACACAAGTGGTTTTCAAACTGCATTTCCTCAGAGTGGCCTTGGGGATCCTGCAAACACGTAATTTCAATTTATTATTTAATTTTCTTTAAATTAAAAAAACCCAACAACAGATTGAACACACTCAGATGTGTGCATTCAAAATAAATATATGCCTATTTCTCTCTAGTGTTCGTGGCTCTTAATAACTAAGCTATGTTGTGTCTATGCTTCACACTAGACCCCATATTTTACGCTCAAATAGCAGGTAAAAGTATTAACTGCATTTTTTAAAAGTCAAAAAGAATGCATCACCAGGAAAGAAGAGAGGGCTCCAAAGGACACACAACCTCCAACAGCATCAGTTTATCTTCTGCCAGCTACAGAGATGGCCACGACCAGACAACAGAACTGGGAGGTCCATCCACGGGACAGTGTCTCAGTAATTTACAAAAAGCAGATCTGGGTTAATTCCAAACTTGAAGTAATAAAGCCCTTCCGCTGTGTCCTTCATTTTGTCTGTTCTGTGGGCACCAAGATTTATTTACAGACCATGTTGTGGTAGAAAGAGACTAGGATTCCTGACCCGGTCTTGAGGCGAACCATCTTTACCCCTCGGCACAGTCACTTCCCTCTCTAGGGCCATCTCTGAATGTGTCAAGTGGGAAGAGAGACTCAGATTTTCAGTTCTCTCCAGCTCTGACAGTTGACGTTGCTGGCACCTCAGGAGGGCTCAGTGGTGTGGACATAAGAAAGGACTGTGACACCCAGACAATTACCTACCTACATCCAAGACATCCCACCACTTCCCACAAACGAACATCCAGGAATTCTCTCTCTGTCCCACACCCCAACCTAGAACTGCCTCCAACTGGAAGCTCAATTCCAGAATTAAAAGAAAGCCAAAAAAATTTAACTGTCAGACAGGCTTAAAAGGCAATCTTGAGTGAAGTAGGGTGGCCATCTTCCTGTCCCAGGCAAAGGTGTCATTAAGATTCAATTCAAGGAATTGAAACTAATGTCTCACAGCCTACGTGAAAAGACATGATAACCACAATGCAGAGTGAAAAAGGCAAAATAATATGTACACCATAATTCAAACTATATAAAACCCATATGCTTATGGCCAAGAACCGGGAGGGGCTACAGACAGATAGCTGTGTATCTCTGAGTAGACTGAAAACTTAGACAATTTTCATTACTGTTATAGACTGAATGTTTGTATCCCCCCCCCCCCACCCAAAATTCCTATGTTAAAATCCAAACACCCAATGTGATGGTTTTAGGAGGTAGAGTCTTTAGGAGGTGATTAGGTCATGAGGGTGGAACCTTCACGAACGAGACTAGCGCCCTTGCTAGAAAAGGCCAGACAGCTTGCCCTGCCTCTCTGCTCTCCGTCATGCGAGGATACAAGACGCCACGTACAAGCCAGGCAGCAGGCCCTCACCAGACACCAGATCTGCCAGACTCTTGATCTTGGACTTCCCAGCCTCCAGAACAATAAGACATAAATGTTTGTTGTTTAAGCCACCCCGTCGATGGTAATTTGTTATAGGCAACCCAAGCTAAGACAATTACTGAGTGCATGAAGAGAAAAGATGAATCTAGAAAGAAGAAAATGAAGAAAGAGGGGTGAAACCTTCATGCTCTGGGCAACAGCAGAGCCCTCTCCTTGAACAAGACACAACTCGTCATCTTTCCCTCCATGGGCCTTCACATATGGGGCTCCTCCAAAGTCACATATTAACATACTAGCACTTAAAAAGCAGAATGTTTCAAAGAAATGCCCCAAATCCATATTTTCAGCTACATGGTATCATATATTCATCCATATATTCAGGTACACACTAGCACATGAAAAGCAGAATGTTTCAAAGAAATGCCCCAAATCCATATATTCAGCTACACGGCATCATATATTCATCCATATTCATCCACATATTCAGCACTAGCTGAATACTAGCACTTGCAAAGCAGAATGTTTCAAAAAAGTGCCCCAAATCCATATATTCAGTCACATGGTATCATGGATTCCCATTTTGATACACGACAATATTCTGGTTTTTAAAATCTTTTATAAACATATAATAGACCCTCTCAAAATAATCCTAATAGTTTTCAACATCCAAAAAAATAATTCTTATATCCCATTATTAAAGTGTGTCTTCTTCTTCGAGGGTTGGGGGCAGGCCAACAAAAAGGAGATAAGAGACAGAGAGAGAGTGAAGACAAAGTCAGAGGGAGCGGAAGGATGGTGTGGAGTCAGAGAAAGCACAGGCTTTGCAGCTGGTCACAATGAGGTACAGTACTTGCTAGCTGGGACACCTAACCTCTGAGTGTCTCTGCTCTTTTGTCAATTAAAATGAGATGATTAGGGACATCCACAAAGAGATGTGGTTCTTGTCACCAGGGCCCCTGATCTGGAAGGTGGATGGCAGTTTGCTGGGACTCACACTAAACGAGATTTTTTTAAATAAATGGAGAGTTCTATACTTCCTTCCCACTGTAAATGTCTAAAATTTCACAGACTGCAATTCAAAGCTCCAAAGAAAGTTACCACTAAATAAATTAAATTACCGTGGCATTAAGAATGAATAAACTAAAGCATTTGGAGACTAGAATTACTGCTCTGAAGGACTCAATGTCGGTAAAAAGAGTCCCTGCAAACAACTTTACATACTCCACAAATGAAATTCACTTAAGATAATAGTAAATCTAATTACACAAAATGAGATAATTTTCTACAGTCCTGTAGTATTTCCCAAAAGAGGAAAAAAATGAAAAGCTCTTTGTGTAATGTGTATATTTATGGAAAACAAGCAAAGCAAGTCATAAAATTTATCCAGCTGTTTTGTTGCTTTTCCCATTTTAATGTAATTATTTACACCATATTAAATTTTTTTCTTTAAATTTCCTTTTGAACACCATTTTAACCAATTGCTTTTATGGTTTATAACATTATGTGATTTTTTTAAAATTGAGTACATAAGCCTTAGAGATACATATAGTTTTAGAGCTTTACCTTCCTAAAAACTACCAATTACTACTATTACTGTGAGAAAGAAATTTCCTTTTAATTAAAGGGTATTTCTTTTCTTAGTGAATAAAGTCTGTGTAGACAATAACCTCTAAAATACAGGGGCTTCTTTCAGCTCTCATGAGAGCAGTGGAAACTGCAGACCCATCATCCTGACACTTCCTCTCAGCAGGACCCACCCTCTAACGTTAAAATGATAGATTAGACCTGTCTTGGAAATCACCACTCACCCAAAAGCTCAGTTTTACAGGACAGGTAGGAAATGAGTGCTGATGACACTGATTTCACTGCATGACCACAGTGGGGACGAGATGGCAAGTGCTAAACAACTGTGTGAGTTTTTTAAAAAATTTGTTTTGCGTACACCAAGTGTCAAGGACAACTTAAGCAACACTTATGATTCGCCAGTTACTTCTGAGCTTCTTGTCAGAGGCCAACACGTAACCACATTTTACCACGAGAAGCGAGTCGCAGACTGTGACTTGGAGGTCATTCTATACCTAGCTTCCACCATCTTGTGTGCGGGCTGGCGCACACTAACGGCACAGGAGGTGGAGGCCAGGTGGGAGACATGGTCCTGGTGCCAGTCCAGCCCCACCATAAACTGCACAGCGACGGGTGGAAGTCCTCTGCACGTGCACCCAGGAAATGAAGTGTGCACTCCTGCTTGGCCTGACCACTGCTCTGACATGTGACACCGCACTGCAATCATCACACCCTGCCTATCTCTTACTCTTGAAATCAAATTTTAATTTTTAAAAATTCTAATGACTCTCTGCCACGTGAGGACGCAGCAAGAAGAAGGCCATCTGCAAAGCAGGAAGAGGGCTCTCACCAGAACCTGAACACGCGGGTACCCTGATCCCAGACTCCCCAGCCTCCAGAACTGTGAAAAACAAATTTCTGTTGTTTAAGAAAACGAAAAATTCTAATTAATTATAAATGAAAATGTTACATGCATATTTTGGAAGTAAGTTACTATCCGAAATATGAAACAATGATGGGATATCAGCTCCACAAAAGTTACCCCTAGTTTGGAAAACAGCCACCAAACTGTTCTTAAGTAAGACAATGACAGGCTAAGTCCTTCGTGGCTTCTATGAATGAATTCACTGGTTTCCCATGAAACAACAAAACTGGTTTCAAAAGTAGACCTATAATTTTCAGTAATATATCAGAAGCAGAAATACATATAAGGAATAGTTTAGTCCCTTTTTCATGCAACTTAAGAGGGAAACAGAAATGGATAAAACCAGAATTTTCTTTACAACCAAGATTTACAGAGAAAAGCTTGGATGTGTATTAGGCATCGGACATAATACTTACTAGATCTAGTGCAGAGCCTCCACCAAGATATTCCATTATTATCCACAATTTAGTATCCTACAAAAACAAAAAAGGAAAATTATTTAAAAAAAATAAAACCAGAGAAAATTATTTTAAATAATCTAAGGGTATTTTTCACTGTTATTTTGGAACTAGAAAAAATATAAATACATAACAGCAAGAAAAGTGCGTCCAAGCGAGTACTGTGTAGGCAAACCTGCACACGGTCGGAGGGGGGCTTTCACAGTCTGCCCAGGGCCCCTGCATCCGACTCTTCTAGGCAGCGTGTTCCAGACCTACTGAACCAGGATCTCCGAAGGGGGACCAGGAGGTTTCCATTTTTAAACAACCTCAGTCAGTGATACTCAGGCACAGTAGGGTTTGAGAACCAGTCCCCAAAGCCAGTTAAGGCCAGCAGCAGTCACACACATCCACCCTGGGTGTCAGCCAGGAGGCGCCGGGAGCACACAGCAGTGGGAACAGATCACTTCGCTCCCTCGGGCCTGCAGCTCTGAGCAGCTCTGAGCCATACAGGGTCTGACCCTCAGTCCCTGTGAGCAGAGGGAAGGCGATGCTCCCGGGGTGGGACAGCTAGTGCAGCCTTTCATTCACTCTCTTGTTTCGTAGAAAGGCAGCCAATTTCAGACCCCCCAAAGGCTACCAGACTCTCTTCTGAGAACTTTCCAGGAAAGCAGGCCCCAGCCTAAGCCTTGCATCTGTGTCCTCTCAGCCCCTGACTCACCAGCATCAACTCTGTGTCTTTTCCCTTTGTCTCTCTTGAGCCACTCAGCCCCCATGACTTCCAGAGTTCTTTTTAAACACAAATCCCAAAGTATACTCCCTTGAAAACCAACATGCAAGCAAGCAAATAGTGGCACCGCTCTCCGCGAGGGGGTGTCTGTGTGGTGGTCAGGAGCACACGGGCTTGGGGATGAGCCAGACCAGGGCTGCGATCCTCGCCACTCCTTACAACCTGAGGGATTCGGGAAGTTAATTCCTCCCTAAGCTTCTGACTGAGCGCCTAGCCAAATGCCTGACCCACAGCCAGCAAGCAAGAACAACAGCTAGCGATGTGGATAACCCATCACAGTATCAGTGGTGAGTAACTCATCAGTGATATTGGTGGTGGATAACCCCTCAGTGATATTGGTGATGGATAACCCCTCAGTGATATTGGTGGTGGATAACACCTCAGTGATATTGGTGGTGGATAACCCCTCAGTGATATGGCTGGCGGATAACCCATCACAGCCCCAGTGGTGTTCTGGTCCACTACCTGGGAGCTAGGTTCCTGGGTGTACTTACATCAACATGCTTCATTGCTACCTGAATATTTTATTTTAGCTTTCGTAAACATCAAAAGAGAAAAGATAAGGAAACAAAACCTTTCCAAGGCTCCCTGGTACATTTCAGATAGAACCAAGCCCTCCCTCTTCAGAATATCCCCAAGGAAGACCCCTCCTCCAGGCCCCCATGCGCACTGTGGTTCTAGCAACGCTGACTCTGACTGAGCATTGTCTTCTGGAACATGACGCAGTTTCTCAGGCCTTGTTGCCTTCTCAGCAGTTTCCTCAGTCAGGAAAACCTCACTTGCTTCCCTCCCCCATGCCCTGGGCAAACTGTCACTTTAGCACCTGTTGGTCTGATGTTCGTTTTAGATTTACCTGTCTGTTTCCCACCACCAGCCAACTAAGTGCCCAGAGAGAGTGCCCGGTATGGCCAAGCTCAGGAAAGGTCATGATGTTCTGCTGTCAACGAAGGGCCAGTTATGTTCACTGTAGACTCCCTTCAGGGAGGCACTGATACATGCACTACATTTGTAAAATAAACTCCTTTTAAAATTTAAAATAAATCCTGACATCTGGAGTCAACTCTATGACATCCTAAATAAACAGTCCAAGTTTTACTGTACAAAGAACACTTTCTCAAGCTTTTAAATGCCCCTACTAATACGATGAAGACAATTTTCAGCCTAGACTGGAAAAGGCAGAGAAGCCTTAAATGATGTGCTTGGGATCCACCTTATAAACATTTTGTTCACTCAATATCAGTCCAGTCACGGACACCTGCCTTGAATAGGCTCAGTCACCCCCTGGTTCTGATTTCCAGAGAACGTCCTATCAGAAAGAGTATTCTCCAACCTTCCCCTTACTTCACAAGCATGTCCAATGGCAGATTTCCATAACACTTGCTCCTGGAGAACATCTGTGTGCTCCTTGTAGGCATTCCTAAAGCATCCTGTCTTACAGCGAGAAATAAACCATTCCAGGCAATGGCCAACACTATTTTGGATGACATAGGAAATCTAAATTGTTTTCTATAAGGAATTCAGAACTTCACATTTCTATTCCGGGTCCCTTTTTTATGGCACTGTTTGACCCAGTCCCCACCCCTTTTATCTTATGGGTGTTAAGCATCAGTTTGCGAACAGCGAGATAAGCTCTCAGCCGTAGGTGATTTCTCCCCACTTCGTGCCCCCTCTGCAGCTGGCGGTGCCGACAGGACACCCTGGGAGACAATCTTGGGTGACTCAGAGACTCACCACACTGCTTCCTGAATCAGCCAGACACAAAGTGACCACAGCTGTCAGCCATTCCAAAGCTCACGCTCCTAAATCCCTGTGGGTTAGCCCAGCAGGTAATTAACTACCAAGGAAACAAAATAACCCTTTAAACATGCTACTCTCTCCTTTCAGGGAGTCTAACAGCCATCAAGTGACCCATTTTCTCGTGTGCTCCTAATACCTCAGGGGCATTTAAGCTACAGCAGAACAACTGGCAAACTAGGTGCCCCCAGAAGAAAGGCTAACCCTCCCCACTTCATTGTAAAGGCTTCGCCCTCCTGGAGAAGATGGAGTAAGAGACCAGCCCTGCCTCTCCTTTTATCCAGTTCGTTCCTGGTACCAGACACGCTAGGGTACGAACGCTACCCAAACACAAGGTCCACCAGATTTGGGGGCACTTAGGAAAACAGCAGTGGGTCCTTTATTCAGGCCACCACTTTTTAAGTACCTTACCAAGGTCCCATGACTAATGTGTCTTTGTTCCCAGTTCCATTAGCACCACTAATCAGGGAATGGAAATTGTATCATGAAAGGTTCCACTGGCTGCCACCTCTCAGCTGAACTTGCATTTCAACCTCACTGGGTGTGCAACTCACTCCGGCCATCGAGTTGGCATGGAAAGTGGGGAAAGCCCTCTGGACGTGGAATCATCAACTCCACCAGCTCCTGCACTCTCTGCAGCCAGCCCCACTCATTCCAGGCTGAGTGGCCACAGAGCAGCCTCTCCCAGGGGCCAGGCACCGGGAGGCAGCAATAAGCAGAGAGAGTACCCACCTTCTAGAGTAGCAGACACACCTCTAATGATTGTTCAATCAATTATAACTGTCACGAGTGGGTGCCATGAGAGGGTACAGCAGGGACCTGCCAGATCTTAGAGTCAGAACCAAGTGTCTTTTAAGAGGAACCTGAATGATGAACTGGCACTGAGATCAGAGGCGAAGCAGAGGGAGGGGACAAGGGGAGAAGTGCAGGTCAGCCAGCACAGGAGTGCTGGCAGGAGTGAAGTGGCACGGCAGGAAAGGGGCGGCATCAAGGACCTAATGGAGGGAGGGCTTGAAGAGGGGGCCCGGGCGGACAGTGACCTCAAGTAAAGCAACAGAGAAAGGCTGATCTTGTAGCCCGGGTTGAACATTTCAGACTTGCTCCTCAAAGTCACTGAAGGGTACCAGAGCAGGTACTCATTTTGGAATAAGCGGTGGATGTGTGTGGAGAAGGGCTGGACAGAGTGGTTGGAGGCTCCTGCAGAGGTCTGGGGAGAGGGAGATGCGGAGGTGGCTGTGGCGTCATCTGGCGAGGCTTGGGGGGCAGAAGCGACAGGACTTGGTGCACCGGGAGGTCAAAGCAACTTCCAGGTTTGGCCTCGCTCAAATGAACACCTGGCAACGCCACCTACTGACAGGGAGCCCGGGAGGAAGGAGGTAGAGGGTACGACAAGTTTGGGCAGGTTGACACAGATGTCCACAGGTCATTCACATAGAGGGTGAATCTTCTTTCTCTTAAAACAAAACAAATCACTGGCTTTAAAATAACTGATAGGGGCCGGCCCCGTGGCTTAGCGGTTAAGTGCGCGTGCTCCGCTGCTGGCGGCCCGGGTTCGGATCCCGGGCGCGCACGAGGCACTGCTTCTCCGGCCATGCTGAAGCCGCGTCCCACATACAGCAACTAGAAGGATGTGCAGCTAAGACATACAACTACTGGGGCTTTGGGGGGGAAAAAATAAATAAATAAAATCTTAAAAAAAAAAAAAAGTTTATAAATAAAAAAAAATAATAAAATAAAATAAAATAACTGATAGCTTCTACTACATTCCAGTATAAATTCCAAACTCTTTGGCTAGGTGAACTAGCCCTTCACAAGCACGTACCCATCTATCTCCTCATCTCATTTCTACCTTCTCTCCATGCCCCCAGAACGCACCATGCTCTACAGCCCGCAGGCTTCTGCAGAGCTGCGCCCTCTGCCAGGGGCTATCCTGCCCAGCCTGCCTCATGCAAGTCACAGCTCACAGCACAGCTACTGTGGCGACACTCACTCAGGGTGCCCATCTCCCTACTCAAGTCTCCAGGCCCAAGCACCTGTCCTCACTCTTCCTCCTGCCTCAGAGACACAGGTCCACCTTATCCTCCGTCCAAGAACAGCCTTGCCAGCCGTGTTCCCTGTTCAACCATCACCTCCCATTCCTACCAGGGATCCCCATTTCCACGGGCGACTTCCAGTCCCACCAGTGCCCCCATCACTCAATTCATCACCTTCCCTTTGACACTTCCATTCTTGTCTACAGCTCCATTCCTCTAAACTCCATCATTCTCTCACTTTCTCTAGTCTGACTCTTTCCCATGGTCCCAACTAGCCCTAAAGCTATGGGTTCTGCTGGCTCCTCCCTCTTCTGGCCAGAATTCCCAAACTACAACCCCCAGCTGCTGGTCTCTCTTTCCTAATGAAAGGGAAGGGTGCTACAAATAAACTGCCTGCCTCACAAACTGGATGAGGATAG